ATGCATCAGAAAAGGACAATCCGTCCGTGTGTGTGTGTGTGTGTGTGTGTGTGTGTGTCCATGCGCGCATGCATGCTTGCAAGACTATAAATAAGTGAAAGAATATATTTCTGTCAGGACATACATTAGAAAAGGACAGTCCATCATTGTGTGTGCAAGATCATAAGTAAGTGAAAGAACTCACTTCTGTCGATTCATTGATAAAGCTTTAATGCCAATTAAACTAACACATTTCTAACTTCAATGAAATCATGCAGTGGATTAGGTGATGGACACCAAATTCACATTCTTTCTTTTATAAAAACACCAGTACATTTTATTACTTGTAGACAGTGATTATAATACTAATATTATTATTATATCACAAAAGTAAGATTGCTTCTCGATATCTATATAATTTAACTGTTGTCTACAAGGAATACTATTCTGGGGGCAATTTTCCATGAGTTCTTTCCTACCCAGAGAACAGACCTGCGAAAGTTCTGTGATAGGCCCTAGTGTAAATGTTTGGACAGAAAAGAGTAACTGATTGCTACTTTGAAAAATCAGAAGTTTATCTTCTGTTTGGTAATTTAGAGTTTATTAAAATCTCTTTCATTTCACATTGTCACAAATATTATCCTAAATCAGCTTTAAGCTCTTTTACTCTAATTTTAAAACTAGTAATCCTCTGGATCATAGTATTTAAAATTGGTCCCCAAAACCAATTTTCCTTTTTAAATTACATTTTTAAAGTATATTTGATTTATATAATGTGAACCTTCTTAATTTGGTGAGGAGATTTGGTTTTGGATTAATTTCTTTTCATTGTAAAACATTTTTTACACCGATAAAACTAAATGGACATTTATTTTCTACTTTTAGGGCACTAAATGTGAAGAACTACAAGACTGCTTCAGTAGAGTCCTATTAACATCTGGAAGACAAATAGCTTTCTAAATCCTGACCAACAGTAATTTATTATCAAGTGCTAATTATTTGAAGAAATATATAAGATGTTGTGGAACAGATAGCACAAGCATTTAAAAGATATTTAATCCTACCATCTAGTACTCTTGTTTTAGTACTACTAATGAATAAATAGTATTTGCTAATAATTAAATATATGATTGCTGATATGTCTTTCTGAGAATATAATGTTTAGGCATGCTATGTAGTATGTCAATTGAGAGTTCTTACTCCTAATGTTAAAAAGTTGCGGGGTTGTGGAGTAGAGGGTGGGGTGTGGGGGCTGGAGGGTAGAAAGTACATAGTAAAGTCTTAACTTGCTGTTTCTTCCTGGAAGTGGAAACTGTATTGATAGCTGTCCAAGCGTCATGGCCTGTTAAAGCATTCTCATCCAAGATAGATATCGATCCAGAGCCATGTGTACACATTTTATATGGTAAGCTAAATGTCTCGGTTTATATGGCCTCTGTAAAGAATCAGATTAGCCAGTGCAGCCCCAGGATGAGTTGGGGGAAGGGAGAATGGGGAACACACTTTTACTTCATTCTCTTATTAAAAAATTGCAAAGTTACAAGGTGGACAAAGTTTGTCTTTGGTGTCCCCTCGGTAGTTGTCCAAAGCTGCCTCTCCTGGAGCATCCTCCCCCCACCCCCGGCCCCCGGCCCCCCATGCGTCTTACCCTCTGCTTCCCAAGTTCTCTCTTCTTCACTTGCCCCTATCACTTTAAAAACTATCTGTTGTTAAAAGATACAATTTAAATATTTTATTATAATTTATAATGAGGGTCTCTGTCAATAGTCCTCAGTCATTTTGGGGTGGGGGAAATTTACAGTATCTATTCATGTAATGTAATGGGGAAGTTATTTTTGATTCATGGTGGTTTCTTAGGTCCTGCGTCCTCGGCTTCTCAGAGCTGGGAGTCAGAGTAGAACGCGCGGAGGCTGCGGTACTTCCTTCGGACCCACTTCTATCCCGTTGGGAGAAACTGTCAATCCACAATATATCTGGCTTTTAAAGGGATTGCAGATGGTACAGAGCATTTTTGCTATTGTCAAATATCTATATTTTTTAATGTTCATGACTCACAACTGTTTACTTTTTTCCAAAAGAATATTTAAAATTCTTATTTCTTATCCAAAGTATAATGTGGGATGAACATCTTAAAGACGTCATCAAGGGTATAATGTAACTCAAAGGGGAATACATTTGTCTTCAGAATAGGAGTGGTTCTACCAGGAGCACACAACCGCATAAAATTCATATAGGCATACATTGATCGATGTTACCCAACAAGCTTTACATATACATTCTTTTAAGGTAAGAGGCTTATCATTTTAGATTTTATTAAGATCTAAATAATTGTTCATTTTACCTCTGTCTTTTGTTAGCTGTCATTTGTATTAATGTGCCTCTCAGAGCAATGCACACCGCCTGTCGTATTCACAGGTGGGAATATGAAGGACAATGGCAGAGGTTGTTAGACTTTACATAAATATGCTGTGTCAATGTGCAGAAAAAGGAATGCGGAAACCAGTAATAGGGAGTGAAGCGTGTAGAAAAAGTAAGATTTTTTTAAATGCTAGAAGAACACACATACATACACATTTTATTTGAGGGGTGCTTTATTTATGATGACCATTTTTTAAACCATTATTGACCCTTCTTTTAATTTTGAACATGCAACTTTAGATAATTTCCTGTGAAACAACTTTTTTTCCCCCAAACTCAGACTTGAGGAGTTGAGAATTAATGGATGCTGGCATCCTGTCTCCTGATAACTCAGGCATCTAGTTATCTACTGTCCCATTATGATGCCTGTACGACTTGAGTAGCTTTCTGTGTCCACCATCAGTGAATAATGGAAAAAGTAAGCTGGCTTAGAAGCCATTAATTTCTGCTATGAATCATCCAACCATACCTATTTAAGGCTCAAAATTGAAACAAAGATTGAGGATGACCTGATCATTGAAGAAAGACTTAACTTGAAGAGAGATTTAGATTAACAAGAAGCTCCAACTGGAACTGGAGAGTTAAGCAGCAGCATATCATATTTTTTGGAAGTCTTATCTTGCTTCTTTAGAGGCTTATTTTTTTTTTGTCCTCATCCGAGGACATTTTTCCATTTTTTGTTCAGGTAGAGTGGGAGGGAGAGAGAGGAACAGAGAGAGAGAGAAACATCGATGTGAAAGGAACACATCAAGTGGTTGCCACCCGCACAACCCAACCAGGGCCGGGGACAAACTGCAACCGAGGTACGTGCCCTTAGCGGGAACCGAACCCGGGTCTCTCAGGACCGCAGGCCGACGCTCTAACCGCTGAGCCAAACCGGCCAGGGCTAGAGGCTTATTTTTGAACAAAGCAATAAAGTTGATTAAACTCTAGCAAGACTGATAAAGAAAAAAGGAGAAACCCCAAATTACCAATGTCAGAAATTAAAGACATCACCACAGGTCCTCTGGATATTACAAAGATAATAAGGAATATTATGGACAACCTTATGCCAATACATTTGAGAATTTATATAAAATGTACAAATTTCTCAACAAACAAATGATCAAAACTGGCTCAGGAATAAATAAAAAATCTGAATTGTTCTATATCTATTCATGAAATTGATTTTGTAATGTAAAACCTTCCCACTTGGAAGACTCAAGGCCATTTGGTGAATTCCGTATTTAGAAAAGAGATATCAATAATGCTAATCCTACACTAATCCTTTCAGAAAATAGAAGAGGTGGGAACATTTCCCAACACATTTTATGAAGCCAGATTTTCTTGGTACCAAAATCAGATAAAGACATTAAAAGAAAATAATATAGAGACCAATATCTTTCTGAACAAGGAATAAATCCTTAACCAAATATTATGAAATTGAATGCAGGAGTGTATATGAAAAAGATAATACATTAGTAGTGGAGTTTATTTTAGCAAAGCAAGGTTGGTATAACGTTTCAAAATTAATCAATATTAATATTAACAGATTAAAAGGGAAAAAACACAAATAAGTGCACAAAAAGCATTCGATAAAATTCAACAAGTTTATATACCAAGCAGTCTTGGAAGATATAGTGTCTCTTCTGGCACAGGTCCAACTATGTTAACTGACCTATATAATAAAGGTTTCCATTTCTAGAGCAAAGGGCAGGCATGCTTACTGCACTTATAAAAGATTTGGGTTCCTTAAATTCAGACCTCTCTCCTATAATATAACTGGCTGTGGCCCTTTTCATGTTGTTTATAGGAATTGGGGCTAGGAGAACCAATGCAGAAAAGCTAATATTCTGGCTACTGCTGTTGCTGTAACCAAGCATCCTTTATCTCTGACCCAGCTGTCTCATGTCTTCCAATAGAACTCATGAAACCATGAGGCTAACTGAATAGCCTACCAGTTGGGTGAAATCTCATACTGTTTGCAGTTCTTGGCAATATCAATCAAATCTATATATCTCTCTATCTCTATATCTCTATCTCTATCTCTATCTCTATCTCGATCTCTATCTCGATCTCGATCTCGATCTCGATCTCGATCTCGATCTCTAGATCTCTATATCTATCTATATCTAATTTCAATTTCTAATAAAAGGCTAGTCTACTCTAATAAATCACAAAGTAATTGTAATCATATGTAAAAGCAAACTTAAAATTATTTTGTAGGAAAAAAGTTCTTGGACAAAGGATTTTGAAACATTGACTTTAGAAATTTATTTACATATCTTGGGTGGAAGGAATTGATACAGTTTACTTGGAATTCCTGGGAAGAAAGAAGAATTTGTTTTAAGGTGGGAGTGCTAATTGTACTTTAGAAACATAATCATTAATAAAAAACAACCCTGCTCCCTCCCAAAATTGCTTTGTGCATATACAATGTATAGAAGTAATATAAATCAAATAACATGCATTTTATTAAAAACAAAACCTCTTAACAATTCCACTATATAATAAATTGGATACAAATCTTAAAAAATTAAATTGTATTCATCTTACAAATTTCATTCTTACTACTGTTCTCTGACTAGTGCCCAGTAGACGAAAAGAATCTTAAATGCTTTCTACTAATCCACCACAATATACATACCTTTCAAATCAGGAGCTAAAGGCCTACTCCTGGGACTAGAGGTGTCTTTATAAGTATCATAGTTGTCAAAATGGAACTTCTCTTTTCTTGAATTGTAACCCATTTTTGAAAGGTCACCATGCTGGCCACAGATTTTTTCAGTTAAACTTAAGTAATCTCTTTGAAGATTCCGCATCTCAAATTCCAAGGTATCCCTTTCATTCTCGATACTTCTTACATAGTTCTCTAAAAGTATTTTGTCTTCTGCAAGTCTGCTGATGCTGTTTTCAAATTGTATATTTTCTTGACTATGTTTTTTTAGTTCTTCTTTTAGAATCTGATTGTCTGTTTTAATTTCCATTACCATTTTTGATAACATTTCACATTCATTGCCCATTTCTGATAAACTCTTCTTATAAATACCTGCTTCTGATTTTGCATTTTTTATTTCATTCAGATAATTCTCTTCTGCAGTAGATTGGTATGTTTGAATGTTCTCAATTTCTCTTTCCATCATTTGTCTAGCAGCAATAGATTGCTGTAATGTTGTTTCAAGGTGACATTTTTCATTTTTCACTGTTTCTAATATTTGAACAAGTGTCTCTTGTTCAGTTTTTGCCAACCTTTCTTTCTCTTTTAGCTGTATTATCTCCAGCTGGTTTTCTTTTATTTCATTTTCAAGTGAGCTTTTCTCCTTTAGAAGCTGGTATGTTCTTTTCTCTAACATTTCCTTTTCATCTTGTATCAATAGAAGATTTGTTTTCATTGATTCCATTTCTATACTCATTCGATTATTTTCATTATTGACAGCAGCCATATCATTTTGAGTTTTTTGTTCTTTACTTTTTAGTTGCTCTAATGTTTCTATCATTTGTTGCTTCTCCAAAGAAAGTTGACTGTTTTTTTCCTCTAGAGTTTTATTTTGTCCTTGGAGAACATTATAATTACTAATTAATTTTTTCAATTCTTTAAGACATTCTTTGCCATCTTCTTCTGTTTTAATTAATTTGGACTGAATAGTGTTCTTTTCTTCAACCAAATTCTTAAGTTGCTTTTCATATATTTCAATTTTTTGTATCAGAGATTGTGTGGTGAAGACAAGAGATTGTATTTTGGTTTTAAGGGTTAGATTTTCATTCTCCAGTTCCGTAACTTTTTTCTGTGTCTGCATAGATTCTTTTAGGTAATTCTGTAAGTACTGAATTTTTGCAACACATTGCTCAGTCACAGAATTGGCTTTGGATGTTTTCTCATTATCAGATATTATTGATCCTCGATTAATTGCAAATGGTTGCCTTTCTTTGTCTTTCATTTCATATTTTGTTGGGTCAAAGAATGATGGTGTATGTCTTGGAAGTTTGCAATGGAATTTTAAATCTGTAATGTTCTTGCCAGTGATAGGAATTTCTTTATTGTTTCTCTCATTCTTTTTTGCCCTGTGTGTTTCACTCTTAGATAATTTTTTACATTTCCTACAAAAATTCAAATGTAATTTTGACACTGACTCCCTGAGTGGGAGTAGTTTAGTTATTAATGCCTCTAATTCTAAAATTCTCTTTGATTTTATATCTTCATTTAAGTTACTTTCTGTATTTTCTTCCTTAATAAAGTTAGTTTGTTCCTTGTGAACGGGGGACAGGTCATAGTTAATGTGACTTTGAACATTTGTGTTCATTTTTAAAGTCTGAAGTTCATTTGTAAGGGCCAGTTCCCTGTTGTGTGACTTTTGAAGTTCTTCCTTCATTTGTTTGATCGAATGGCAAATGTCATCTAAATTTTCACAAAATCCGTGCTTGGGAAATGGCACAGTAATTCTGGGTTTATCCTGAACGGCTGTATCGGCTTGACACATAACATTTTGAGGTGCATTAGGTAGAAAACTATAAATGTTATAATTCTTCAACATGTCACAGTTTTCTGAAGCGTTCATAATTACGTTTGAAGGTAAATGATCTGGTGAAGTTCTTAGAGTTACTATGTCTTTGAAATGTATCTGGGGTAGAATATTTATACCTTGAGAGAGACTGTGGACACTGCCGCTGCTGAACTTTTCTTCCATTGAATGAAGGGTCCAGGGATCCTCAAGATGATGCATTTTCTCCGCAGAAAGGATTTCTTCTTGATTCTCTATAGGCTAGTAACAATAAAAAGCACACTGTAAATGTACTGTCATTTGCCACATGACCAAGAAATTAAGATATTTTGCGAAGGGTTTATTTTGTAAGCAAATGAACATTTTAATCACCTACAGCAAACAACAGTTGAGATCTGTAACTCTGGACTTGACAGTTTGCTTAGAAATTGTACTTACTTTCTTATGCGGTGAGATACATGGGCCAACCCCTCAATTTCAGAAATAGATATTTAGCATCTCTCAAGAGACCGTCATAGATAGATGAGAAAGACAGATGCAACAGGCCAAATGGAAGTTGAAGGACAATGAATATTTTCATTTCTGGGCTATTTGTCAACCTTAGCCTGCATTCCTGGTTTCAGATGATTCTAGGGCTGTGGCTGTTCTAGAAATGTGAGTTCTCCTCACTATAGACACAGTGACACTGGTTTGAACCTGTCCCAGGGAATTCACCCCAGGTCTAGGTCAGTCCTGAAAGTAGGAAAACTTGAAGGTGGACAGATAGGCTATAAAAACTGCCTTATATTTTATTTACTTGGGATCTTTAGGTAGCCGGACTAAGCTAAATGCCCTTCACCCACTCTCCTACGGGAAATGGGATGCTGCAGAAGGACGGGGGTAGACACACGGTTTTAGGGTTTTCAGGAAGGGAATTCCCTTATTTTCATCTCTGACAATCCAATCGCCCTGTGAGGAAGGGGAAAATGTAAAGTGGAAGGTAAACTGTTTGTAGTAACATGTTAAAAATACCTAAAGATAGAATGATTTTGTACAGAATAACATACCTTTTCAATGTGTGTGTTGAATACTAGATTTTTTTCTGAGCTAAATTGTGGGTTTTCTACTTCAATAATACTTTTGTTTAATATTTCACTGATTTCAGACTGTACCTTTAAAAGATAAATTGAGAATGTTAGAACTTGATTTCAGGTTTATAAAGTTATACATATAGGAGTAATAGATACTATAATTAAAAGATACCTTTTAACTTCCTGCACAGAAAAATTCTTTCCCATCACATAAAATATAAATTAAACTTAATTTATTATAATCTCTATAATTAAAGAACTCATTAAGAAAATGATGTCTTTATTATGTGATTATAAAATTAGAAAGACAGTAAAATCTCATGCAGTATATTCAAATAGTTTTAGATGTTTGATTTTTACATTGTGGAACACATCAGAGACCTCACAGACCTCTCTGGCATTAGAATGGAACCTATTCCGTCACCCTCAGGGATTTATCTTCCCATTTCCCTGCAAAAGCTTTTATTCTATTATTTATTTATTTATTCTTCTTCATCGATTTTAGAGAGAGAGGAACACCGAGACAGCACATTGATTGGCCGCCTCCTGCATGCCCTCCACTGGGGATTTGGCCTGGGCATGTGCCCTGACCGGGAATTGAACTGGTGACCTCTTGGTGCATGAGTCGATGCTCAACCACTGAGCCACACCGGCCAGGCTGCAATAGCTTTTAGTACAAAGATATTGGGGTGAAGTTTATATTGGGGGTTTGGGGAATATGTGTTGTGTTCTGCACCCCCAATATTCATACTCTAACTTTCTCTTAAAACTACTCTGTATTTCTTCTGGATAAAGGCCATGTGCCTTTGGTGATGCTGATTCCACAGGTAGCTCCAGGCGTGGTAGGTGACTCAGGGCTAACCAGTTGGAGTATTGCCTCCTATGCACAGTGATTGGTTCAAGTATCGCCTATGATTAATTCTGGGCCAATCAGAATCAGGCCAAGAGCCTCAGTATAAGCTGGGAAGAGAGAAAAGCATGACTCTTCTCTGTCTGACCGGAATCTGGAGGGATAAAGGTGTGGAGCTTCTAGCAGCCCCTCTGGCACCATGTGGAGTCTGAGGATCCATTACTGTGGAAAGCAGATAGGAGTGTGACTGGGTCCTTGATGACGCGAGTCCTGATCCAGTCACACTCCTATCTGGATTCAGCCTTCCCCAAGTGAAAATCCCTCGGATTTTCAGTTACCCTTAGTTTGGGTTAGAGTTTGTGTCACTTATAATGAGAGTCCCTATCTGTAGACTCTATAGAGTAAGTCTAAAAAATCAGTGAGTGCTATTTATTTTTGTGTCATATCCAAATATGTATAACAGAATATAGTTTTCTCTAAATTTGAAGCCTAGAAATGTTGCAACCTTTACTATATTTCATTCTATATCAGTTAATCAATTGGTCAGTGATCATCAGCTTAGGAATGTGGATGATATCTTAGGTTTGGGTATTTCTTATATGTGCATTAAATGAAACATACCATGCTGACATTCTGCAAAGTCTGTATTCGGAGAGCCTGGAATGATTCCAATTGATGCTGAAGGGCCTATAATAAAATTAACAAGGCATGGAATTGGATATTATTATTATTATTTCTTTAATCCTCACCTGAGGATATTTTTCCATTGATTTTTTTTTGTTTTAGATAGAGCGGAAGGGATGGAGAGAGAAACACTGACGTGAGAGAAACACATGGATTGGTTACCTCCCACCCGATCCCACTGGGGACTGAGGGAGGATTGAATCTGCAACCCAGGTACGTGCCCTTGACCGGGAATTGAACCCGAGACCCTTTCGTCTGCAGGCCAACACTAACTGCTGAGCCAAACTGGCCAGGGCAGGATTGAGTATTTTTAAGTAGTGAACATATACCTCTTGAACTGTTAGGATTATTATTATTTTTTTATGTCCCTAAAGTTGTCATTTACCAGAAAGAATCACATGGGGGTCAAGTGATTCACATTCTTTGTCATTCTTGCTAAATCTCCAATGCATTTTCATGAAGATCTTTTGTAGAAAACCCATATGCATTTTGGAAGTACTTATTCTGAAAATGATCAGCCTTTACACAAATGTTTGAAGAAAATAAAATAGAATCTACTTACTTTTAGTGCTGATTGTGGTTGAATTTGATTTTCTGATTCTGATATGCAGCCGTATTCTAAAAAGAAAAATCGAACAACCGTGTGATTTAATTATTAACTTGTATTTTTAAACAACTATAATGGAACGCAGTCTCCTGTTTTGGATGGTGAGACAAGGAGATAATGAGAATTTGAGGTTCACATTAGGAAGAACCAGGCTATTCACATAATAAGTTTACAAAATAATTATTTTCCCTTAAAATATCTAGTTGAGTTTGTAATAGTGGTTTTACTTTTCAAACTGTTAACTTTAACACTTGAAACTTTCAAAAACTGAAATTGTCTTTGTTTCTGAGATATAAACTACTTTTTTTGGGGTAGAAATACTAATAATCCTCATGTTATGAAAGACCTTGGGCAGACTACTGTGTCAGTCTTAGTGTTTGTGAAATGGCCATACAATGTTTTTCTCATCATCATGGAAAACAAGTTCGATTAACAGAGCATAATTTTGGTCATGCTCTTGTAGTATGAAAATCAATGTGTTCCTCCCTAGAACATAGATTATAGATCTGCATCAGGGAGAGACTATATACATTTCCTGACATACATCCTTCTTTGCTCAAATGGTTGCTACTTGCTCACTTTTGTACATTTTTATTAAAGAATTGAAAAAACAAAACAAAAAACATGCAGTGTCCTGAATGAGATGAAATTAATGCCTGTTCTAAGAGAAGGTTCTGAAAAGAGGTCAGCATATCTTCTTGGAATGACAGTCTGCCAGATTGCCAGGTCCTTTTTTTTTTTAATCCTTACCCTAGGAAATTTCCCCATTTATCTTCAGATAGAGTGGGAAGGAGAGAGAGAGAGAGAGAGAGAGAGAGAAACATCGACGTGAGAGACAGAGACACTGATTGGCCACCTCTTGCATGACCCCGACGAGGGCCAGGGATGAACCGCAACTGAGGTACATGCCGTTGACCAGAATCAAAACCTCGACTCTTTGGTCCGTGGGCCGCTGCTCTAACTGCTGAGCCAAACCGGCCAGGGCATATTGCCAGATCTTACAGAAGCTGGTGGCAAAGTGTAACCCTGCCCCTGCCGACCTCCCTTCCCTGCAGCTGGGCCTCACCACTGAGGGGCCCCTCTGGTTCAGAGCCTGGGGCCCCTCTGGTTCAGAGCCTGGGGCCCCTCTGGTTCAGAGCCTGGGGCCCCTCTGGTTCAGAGCCTGGGGCCCCTCTGGTTCAGAGCCTGGGGCCCCTCTGGTTCAGAGCCTGGGGCCCCTCTGGTTCAGAGCCTGGGGGCCCCTCTGGTTCAGAGCCTGGGGCCATTTGGCCAGTTGAAGAATCCCACCTTCATCGGAGGGCAGGGAGGGACAGCAGGCCATGTCAGTATCGCTCAGCTTTGCATCTTACTGGGGGAAAATGTGAGTCTGAAACGTTGATCTCAGATAAAAACGAATTCAGGTGAGGCCTGGACCAGTGCAGCATAGCTTCCCCAAGATTTTCAGAATCTAAAAACAACCTCTACTGATGAACTCAAATAGATCAAGATGCAAATAAAAAAAGCATATCACCTAGAATCCCATTACCCAGAACTAACTGTTGTTAATTTTGAGCACTTACCCTTCCCTACGCATATATGTGGCGACAATGGAATGATTTTAGACCAGTGGGATCATTTTATACTCGCTGCTTTTAAACAAATGGCATTCACTTTATATTTCATAGAATAAGAATGGCAAATTATTGCTAGTATTCAGGTCTTTTTTTCACTACATGAGAGATTATTTCCTCTGAGATGACTCTAAACGAATGAAAATATATCATGAAAAGGATGCAGGGATCGGAATTTTAATGTTTTTTATAATAACACACACTTCTGTTGTGTTCAGTGTTTCCTGGCAGGGAATAAATTATGAGAAAATTAGCACAGCTCCTCCTCACTTTTCATATTTGCTAGTTATGTTATTTTCACACTATGAAGTTTTATGATGTTTAATTCTGTGCTGTAACCATACTTCCCGCAAAGCTATTTGACACAAAGATAGGATATTGCTATTGTAAATATTTTCAGCCCAACTTTATTCTTAATGGATCTACCGTCGGGAATTCCCTCCTTCCCGCACCTGCAGCAGCCGCCTCCCGCCCCAGATTGCCTCGGTCTCAGTAGGACTTGCAAGCGAGTCCGAGGCTAAATGCAGGACACCTTTTGCTAAGACCGAGTAAGAAATAAAGGGCCAAAAGAAATCTAAAGACTTAGTCAAGGGATATAGTAAAAGACTGTAAAGAAAGAACATGGAATGTATATACCGGCTTAGATTTTATATCACTTATAATGAGAGCCCCTCCCTCTGTCTCTTCATTTGTGCCCGCAGTGTGTTGGCACTGTTTCTACGCTGCTGGTTTTCATATGGCTCATGGCAACCTGAGCAACTCAGCTCAGAATTTCTGTTATCTTCCACCCTTCCCTGTATCCTTGGGGTCTAGCTCCCTGCGTTTCGGAGCCAGTGTGTTTTCCTCTGCACTTTTCTGTGGCCTCAACATCAGGTGAGGGGACTTGGGCGGGGGGTCATCTGGAGCTGTGTGAAGCCCTTGTTGGAGGATGTGATCTCTGTTGTTGTGTGGTTGCTCCCTGACACTTTTGTTAGAAATCTAGTGGGCAGTGCATCCTGTTTTCACAGGAAATACTCCTGATGGGGATCGTGTCCTCCATGCAGTTGGAGTCCCAGACCTGGGGTTGCCGCGTGTGACTGTGGAGGTGGTTCACTGCACAAGGGCTCCTGGCCAGAGGATGTGTGCGGGCTGAAGTCCATCCCATGCTCCGCTCTGCCCTGCCAGCTGCACTCGTGTGAGTCTGCACCCATCGAGAGTAGGGTGTCCTTTTCTCTAAAGCACCCAAGGCAACTCCGTGGGCTGGTGGTAGCCCAGCCCAGAACCTTTTCTTTCCTGCAGGCAAAGTCAGCTCCTGTTGATGGGCCTCTGGCTTTTCCCACCGACTCTAGCAGCTGCTCCGCTCTCCCCACCCAAACCCCAGTCCATAGCAAGACAATATTGCCTCATCTTTTTGTATTCATGTTGGCAGGGGGCGGGGGGGGGGGAGCGTTTCTGAGTATTTTCAGGATTTCAACTTGCTTTATTGCTTCTGACAGAAGATTCAGGCTATAATTTACCTTGCCAGAATCTTCTGTTTTTACTTTTGCCTCCACTCCCTAATTTTATGTCCTGGGGGGGTGCCCCCTTTCTTCTTCTGTTGCTGCTGGTGATGTTTTTACTGGTTTTCTGGCTCGTTGTTGTTGATGTTCATTTTATTTGGAACTGGAGGAGGAAGGTCTGAGACCTTGCTTGACTCTAAAATATCTACATGAGCCTGGCCAGTGTGGCTCAGTGGGTTGAGCATCCTCCCATGGACTGAGGTCCAGGTTTGATTCCCGGTCAGGGCACATGCCTGGGTTGCGGGCTCGATCCCCAGTAGGGGGCGTGCAGGAGGCAGCCAATTGGTGTTTCTCACATCAATGTTTCTATCTCTTTTTCCCTTCCTCTCCCTCTCAAAATAAATAAATAAACAAACAAACAAATAAATGAATAAAATATCTACATAAAAGTCTAGAATAATTTTTATAAGCTAATGACTTAGCTTTAAGCAATGTTTCATGTTCTAGTGGTTCATTCCTTCCACAACATAGCACCATTCACTCACACACCGAGTGTCCGCGTGTGGCGTGCTCCACTGTGGGGACCGTAGACCGCGGTGAGACCGCCGGGCACCTGCTCTCATGGTGCCCACACTCCAAAGGAGTACACAGAAGAAACACAAAGACGCAAGCAAGACACATCCTTTCAAATAGTGATGAGTGCCGCAGAGAACATAGGCTAACAGGATGAGTGAGGACGGGACAGCATTGGAGAGCACGGGCAGCAAAGGTCTCTGGCTCTGCGACTCTCAGTGATACGGAGGAGCCACCATGGGGACAGCTCTGGGGGGATTTGGAACAGAGGAGCCAGGTCCTGACGCAGAACAAGTTTCTGTGTGTGCGGAACGGAATGAAAGCCAGTCTGTCTGCAACCTAAAGAGCAGATGGGAACAGAGGTCAGAGTTCAGATGGGGCGACGACCAAGATCATGTAGGGCCTGGGGCTGGCTTTTCTTCTCAGTGAAGTGGGAAGTTTTGGGGGTTTCAACCACGAGAGTGATTTGATCTGACTGAAACTGTACGGGCACTCTACTGCATGGTACTGGGTGAGGAGGTGGTGAAGCCGGACCTTGCAGTAACCCCAGTGGGAGACAAGGAAACTTGGACTAGAATGGCCGTGAGGTGGGGGAGAAGGAGAAAAATAGGTGGATGCCTGATGTGCTGTAGAGGTAAAACCAGCACCATTACTGGAGGATTAGATGTGGCCAGAAGATAAGAATGAAGGGTGACCCTTGGGTTTTTGGTGAGAACAGAATGATGATGTCATTTGCTGAAATGTGAAAGAAAGGAGTAAGAACATATTTTAGGGGAAACACTTTTAGATCTGTTGAAGTTCTCTGTTACACCTCAAAGTGGAGAAGTCAACAGGCAGCTGGATCTCCCAGTCTCTGGCTCTAGGAACGTGTATCGGCGACGTGGACATCCCTGCTGGCCTGGACGAGGCGAGGGGTTCTGTGTGGTGACAAGAACAGGGCCTACATGAAGTGTCTCGAGAGGAGAATGGACTGTGACGCTGTGTTCAGCGTTAGCTAGGGACACCTCTTCCTTTTTTTACTATGGCAGGGAAAAGGGCGTCTACTGGAACAGGGCCCACGTTGGAAGAGAGGAGGAGACCAAGGATTTTTTAACCATGGGAGATTCTGGTATGCCTGCTTGCGGCTGGAATCGTGTAGTAGGAAGGGAGAAGATGACGAATTCTGGAGAAGGAGGGAGGCTAATTGCAGAAGCTGAGTAGTTGAGAATCCAGGAGGGAGAGGACCCGGAGGCAATGACCTTTGATTGAAACGGGGAAGGCAGAGGATATGGGTACCCAGATACGTAGGTGAGCAGATCTGAAGGCTGGGGTGGAGGAGTTTGGTCCTGATTGCTTCTATATTTTCATGTAGTATGAGAGATCATGTTACAAGTTGAGAGGTAGTGGCGAGGGGTCTCGACACAAGCAGAGTGAATTAGTTATCTTGGAGAGGGTTTGAAAAAACATTTTTTGGGAAACTAAGTAAGTTTTCCAAGTAGCATTGAGGCCCATGGTATGACTCAGACGTGTTTTTCCCAGCAACGTTCAGATGATTCAGTGAAGACACAGAGTAGGCAGACAGGTGGATTTTTCTATTTTTAAAAGCTATTAAAATAATTTTTTGTTCTTAAGAGTTTCTTATGGCTGCTGCTTATTCCCAAAGGAAAGAAAAAGTTAAAATTCAGCAATACTTATAAAGCTGCAGAGAATTATGGGATTCTAGAATGAGAAGGTAAACTATCGAAGACTCACAGGAGAGAGAACACAATCACATGTGGCCAATTATTAAGTCCCTGGTCATCGTACAATACGGGGAGGTGAACAGACGAAGTCGAAGATTAGGCCCCAGCCCTGGGGAAGCTTATACTCTTGGAAATGCAAGAAATATTATTCATATTAAACTTAGATTTTCTAGCTGTTTCATATTTACATGTCAGAAGTGAAAAACAAGGTAATCACCAGTGGAATGACTGTTGAGGTATTTAGGTAAAGGTATGGGGAATTTATTCTGAAGCCTGCAGAAGAACATGTCACATTCAGTGTACACAGAGAGTATTAAGTGCACACATAGCTAACAGGTGAGTTTTAAAAACATGAAAGATTTATATGATTTGAAGACACTCTGTAGTCAAAGCTTTGTAATTCTCAAGTTCCGATACTGAGTGTTGCTATGACAATTCAGATTTATTCCTAGAAGTAACTGTGTTTCAAAGCCTTGGGGGGGGGGGCACCACCTCCTTGAGGCATCACTGTGGGAACCACAGGCTTAAATCCTGGCTTTGCGCACGCTCACTGTAAGGGGTAATTCTAGGCAGTCTAGTGTGTAGGTAAGTCTCTTAGTGCAGTGCTTGGTACATAGTACACGCTCATGAGACATTTACTTTAATCATTACTGCAGAGGCAAGGGCATTATCAACATGATGATGATTTGGTAAACTGAAAATGTCCAATCGAGATGGAAGAGAGGGTTGCTGAGAACTCTCTGATGCATCCCACTGTGTTCAGAATAAACCCCAAATCCTTACATGGAACTCCCAAGCCCCCTCCCCAGCTTCCTCTCTGAACTCTTCTCCTATCTTCCCCTTCCCAGTCTGCTCTGGCCTCTTCAGCTGCTCCCCAGACATGCCAGGCATCCTCCTACCTCAGGGCCTTTGCAGTCGCTGTTTTCTGTCTAGAATGCTCTTGCCCTAGAAATCTGCACTGATTACTCCTTCATCTCTTCAGGTCTGTGCTCATATGTTACCTGATTCATGAGGTCTCCAACCAACCTACTTAAACTAGAATTGCACAGTCCTACCCACCTCTGAATCTCCCGCCCTCCTCTGTGCCTTACTTTTCCGATAGGATTCGCTTCTGTCTTGCACATAATATCCTTTGTTCCCCCACTAGAAGGTAAGCTTCATGTGGACAGGGATTTTGCACATTGTGTTCACTGTTGGATCTCCATCACCTGGGACAGTGCTTGCTCAAGAATATTTTAGATGAATGAATGAACAAAGGCTGGGATAGAACAGAGGTGCTCAAAACAACACACTGAACATTGAAAGTATCTCTTACATCCCCGTTCCAATAAACCGAGGCTAACTTAATTAGGATAACTACTTGTTCTTTTAAAATCAAAGAGACCTGCCCTGGCCAGTTTGGCTCAGCAGTTAGAGCGTTGGCCTGCGGTCCGGAGAGACCCGGGTTCAGTTCCCGCTGAGGGCATGTACCTTGGTTGCAGTTTGTCCCCAGCCCTGGTTGGGTTGTGCAGGTGGCAGCCACTCGCACAACCCTTTCACGTCGATGTTTCTCTCTCTCTCTCTCTCTCTCTCTCTCTCTCTCTCTCCCGCTCCATCTGAACAACAACAACAAAAATCAAAGAGACCTCAGAAACAGCATATAACTTCTTGTAACTTGGCATTATATGTGCAAACCAGGGCAATATTCTGTTGGCAAGTACTCAGGACATGGGTCACATGGTGACACTGAACTGTAACTAGGAAAACAGAAAGGAGAGGGGACAAAGTCCCACCTGCTGATTTTGCCTTTAGTTGTAGGCAGGAAATCACTGCCATCCTTGGCAACACTTAGAAAATCTATCAGTTATTGAGCACCTGCCTTGCTAGAGCCAATACTTGTAACCACTATGCGTTTGCAGGAGAGGCGGTAACTCACGCATGTATGGTATGGTGCATGTGACCTCGTGTTCTACAAATGCTGGCCCCTTTCTCCAGAGCCCTGACTCTCACTCATGTTAGAGAACACATGATCTCGCCAAATTAAAGTGCCTCTGTCCCTTCTGACCTTAGCTGCTCTCTTTGAGGTAAATGTTGAGCTGACTCCGTGTCTAAACTCACTATGAGGACTCTCTCCCTGTTCACGGGTCCCTGTGAACGCTCCTGGTTGCACAGGGATGCCTGTATATCCATGGCTGGGGAGCGCACAAGAGCAGAGGGACTGGTGTGGGCCCTGTCCTGCTGGCCTCCATGGTGATGATGCTTATCCTGGTGGTCACTGGGCATCCAGCTGTCTCTGTCTACAGAGGTGTGGCTGATCCAGCCCCTTCTTCCAGGGCCCTGGACAAGGCATCTGTGAAGTCCCCAGACTTATGGAGGTGCAGGAATCCTGTGCTGGCCTCGGGTCCCTGGGTCACCACTCCTGTCAGCACATCTGTGCCTGGATGACCCGTCTACCACGTAGGTTATGTGCACCCGGGGGTCCAGCCTGGCCCATCATCTAGGTAGCGCCTGCCACCCTCAGTGCGCTCCCTCACAGGTCACGCTGAACACCAGCCTCTGAGAGGTGCGTGACCCCGGCTTCTCTGGAGGAAGAGACTGCAGTGTTCTCAGATCCCCGGGCTGGGATTTCCACACATCTTGTCACACTTCTGTGGAGCTGGAAAATCGGAGCTCTCTGGTGACTTCAAACACCTTCCCCACAGAATATCCTGTAGTCCACAAATACCTAGTATAAAAGCATTGCTTTTGGCCCTGGCTGGTTTGGCTTAGGCCCAGTCGGATCGATTCCCAGTCAAGGGCATGTACCTGAGCTGCAGGTTTGATCCCCATGCAGGAGGCAACCAATCAATGTGTCTGTCTCACATCATTCTCTGTCTCCCCCCTCCTCACCTCTCTCTCTTCCTCCCTCCTTCCCTCCCTTCCACTCTATCTAAAAATCAATGGAAAAATATCCTTGTGTGAGGATTAACATAAATAAATAAATAAATAAATAAATAAATAAATAAATAAATAAATAACAATAACCTCTCAGTAAAAAAATGTACTGCTTTTGGAAAAAGTATATATCTTTTTAGTGTCTCTAAAACATCAACAGTTCTTATTGGTATTGAGAGAACTAGTATAGTACAGTGTGGTGTTTAAGGCCTGGGCTATGGACCTACCCCACTGAATACTGGGCCCTATCACTTGCTAGCTGTGTGACCTTGGGGAATTTGTTAACCTCTCTGTGCCTCAGTTTCCTCACTTGTAATATGGAGATGATGGTAGTACCTACTTCCTAGGGTTGTTGTGAGATTTAGAGTTGGTACATTTAAGTGCTTTGAACAACATCTGCCACCAAGCAACGCGCCGTCTTAGCTGTGCCGCTGAGCACCCTGAACCAGCTGCCGGGAGCACACCTGTGCTGGAAGCACTTGGGTGGCCCTAGGCAGTTGGCCCGCTGCCGGCAGTAAAAGGCAGGAGGGTTATCACTGCCCTCGGGGCTCTGGTCCTGGAGACTGTACCTGTGTCACTGCCACCACTTTCCTTTACCCCCTCAGAGGAGTGCAGGATCTTGGACGCTGAGAGGAGGACGCAGTCAACTTCATCCCTTTCCTGATGCTTTTCTGTAACAGAACCATACATGGTGGGAGAAGGGACGGAGGCGCGGGGATTCGGGACGCAGACGCCCTGGGCGGCCACGGGAGGGCGCGCTGGGGCCACACAGCGCTGCGCCGGGTGCGGGGAGGCTGGAGGCTACAGCGGGGCGCAGGAATGGAGGCTGCACTTGTCTGGGGCGGCTAATCAGAAGACCCAGCTCTAGACCGGCGGGATGAAGGGGCCGGGCCACCACCCATCCACTGCCCACAGGTCCCCTTCAAGGGACTGGCCCTGTCCTGGCTCTTACCCGGGCTCATTTCTGCGACTCAAGCGCTCTTTCCTTCCCAACTGCCTTCTCCCCTGCATTCCGCCCAGTTGCTTCACGCTGGGGCAGCCCGTTGCCTGGTAACAGGGTGGCCTGGATGCCACTGCGGGGGCTGGGCGCGAGCGTGGGTGGGGGTGGGGGAAGAGAAGGTGCGCGCGGGGTCGGGGTTCCCGGGGCCAGGATGCCCTGCGGGACTCGCTTCTGGGACAGCTGCGTGGGGAGAAGGCCCCACCCTTTGCTGTGCCCTCTCGAACCCAGGGACAGTCTCAGGAGGGCGCTCTCCTCCCTTGGGTCTTCCCTGCTGACCCAGACTTGTTGAACCAAAGCTATATGGAGAAGGGAATTCCTCTTACACCCGCCCACCAGAGCAGTTTCAGCTGTGGGGATTTGGACCACCCGAGACCAGTATTGTAAATAACACTTGTTTGTTGTGGTTAAAAGAAGACCCCCGTTTCCAGGAATGAACTTAAAATAACAGTGTATTAACCACACACATCAGAGCTGTCCCGCGGGCCTGGTCTCATTTGGCGAAGCATCAAGTGCTGTGCACCTGGGTAAACCGCTCGCTAAGGGTGGACGTCGCTGTTGGCAGCCGGAGCTGGTTCACCCAAGGACCTCTTTGTGCCACTCGGAAAATGGCACTCTTTAAGTAAACATTTTAAATGAGCATCTATTAATTTTGCAGCAACAACCATTACAGATTTTGAAGGGGAAATGTAGACAAAAAAACCACTGCACCATGTCTCATTACTCCTGAGTACATTGATGTGTTTCTTGCAAGGAGACGCTTCAACACAGGCTCAACAGAACCGTTAATATTTGGAAATTAGCGTCGATACATTATTACAGTCTATTCTCAGACCCCACTCAAGTCTCACCCATTCTCCCAATAATGTCCTTTATAAAAGCTACAGTATCTGTCCAAATTCTTGTACACATGTAGTTAGTATGACACGTCTTTTGACTCCGTCTCACGGACCCAGCAGTCCTATTTTATTCAGTGGGCTCAAGTGGACTATCTTTGTTGTAAGCATGATTTATGCTGCTGCTTAAATTTCCTTAACTGGGCCTGTGGGAGTTTCTCTAGCTGGCTTCTGTGTACTTTTGACACGTCCCCTTCATTACCGCGCCTTTCTTCATTTTCTTGGCACGCCCAGATGTGCCAGGCGCATCCCATTGGTTGCCTGCCCTCGCCTGTAGCCCGGCCATTTGCCCAAGGAGCCTGTGCTTCTTTCGGAGGAGGGGTTTCTGGCAGCCAGGATGTGAGTGCTAGTGGCCGTGGCCAGTCCGGGCGCAGCTGCTCACAGGAGGCTCAATGGGCAGAGCCAGGGAATGTCTGCATGTGTGTGCACATGCATCTACACACACAAACATACATGCACATCCATATTAATTCTGTATCTCTGTATCTGTATCGGATAGCATGAGTTATACCTCCAGTTCCAGTCTAATATCACAGTGATACTGTTTTCTCAGTTCCTCCATTCCTATGTTTGGAATGTCCCTGACCAACAGGGAGGAAGTTGACTCTCAGTATCTGTTATATACTTACTTGTGGGAGCATCGCCCACATAAATATTAGTCTCAGTGCTGATCTCTCACCATAGGATGCCCTGGTCTTCCCTTCTAGGTGCCCGTACCCAGCTCTGCCCCTTCCCTCCTGCTGTGTTTAGACTCTGGCCCCTGTAGCGGGCCCGCCCTTCGCCTAGACACAGTCCTCACTGCTCCTGGGCTCGGTCGAGGCCCTCCGCGTGCTCCTGGCTCCGAAAGCACGGAGCGGGCAGGGCACCGCCTCGCCCCACCCGAGCGCCCCACACGTGGGCGCTCTCCTTTCCCTCCTTGGGAGTGGACACCCAAAGTCTGCTTTTGCCAAGGTCATGAAATGATTCTCTCATGCTTTTAAAAGTAAGAGCTGTATTGTTTTACCTTTCATGTTTAGATTTGCTATTCATCTGGAACTGATTTTCATAGACGGTGAGGGAGGTGTCATTATCCATTGTTTATGGTTATTCGCTTGACCCGCCATTTATTGTAGATTATAATTTCCCGCACCAGCCACCTACTTTAATACATTGTAAAATGTGTTTTTCTCATGTGTGCTCTCATCCCCCCGGCCTGCCCCTAAAGCTCCTCGGAGCCAAGTCACTAAAGTCAAGTAAAATGATTATTTGCTTGCCAAGCACATACATTAGACTTAGATAAAAGGGTCAGTATAAGGAAATTCCCTTTAGACTCCCCAAATGGAGAAAGCCCCATTCCCCGCAGTGGGACCAGGAGAACGCTGGTCCTCTGAGGCCCTCTCAGGCTCCTGGCTGCTGTGGAGCACTCAGGTGCTCAGTAGGGCCAGTGATGTGCAGAAAAATCTGGCCCAAAGATGCATTACACTCGCCGGGGCCACCTGGCGCTCCTCCTGCCCCACGACACGGCTGGTCCATTATCCCATTTCAAATTGGTACACAGAGTTTAGACTCAAGACACTTACTCTGGAGGATGTTAAATTTCTTTCTTTCCTAATTAGGCTCCTCATAGTGAAGCGTTTGGTGAAACATTCTTGTGTATACTTAACGGTGTTGAGAATTGTAGAATTATATGAGAAAAAGGTTATTTCCCAGATTTATATGCTAGAAAGTTGACACATGGGAAGGTTAGGAACTTTTCAAATACTCTGTAACTGGTCAGTGCTAGACTTCCTGATTCTGAAACCCTGGTTTTACCTAAATCCATTGATTTGAATTTTTTTTTACCCATAACAAATTACAGTTTTATGGGATAGAATAATATTTCATCTAAATTTTACAGAAATATGGCAGTAACTCTAGTTAATGCTAGAACTAGAAGTTCCTGTTTCCTGCCATGTGCCACTTCACCAGCCCAGCCTTCCCAGTGTGCTGAGACTGGTGCTGTTTCATTCGGCTCACGTTGGGCGGACAGCGGGAGATGCTTCCTCTGGTCACATATGTCAGTCGGCCCAACAACCGCCTTGACAATGTCCGATTTTTATCTGATTGTGAGGCTCATTGCCAAAGGACAGAACTAAAATCTGTACTACCAATTTTAAAAAATCTATGAATCACAATATTTCAAAATCTTCGACTAGAAGCTCCCCTTGGCGCTTTCACCTGTTGACGCACAGCTGCGGATTCGCGAAGTTGGAACCAGCCGGAGGGCACGGCACCCAAACAGGCTGGTCCAGTCTATTCTTAGCAATATATCACCCGACTAAAATACTTCTGCATTTTTTAGCTTCAGAAGAGTTTTCCTTAATCCTAGGACCACCAGGCTATCATTAATCATAGCTGAGATTATAGTACATGCAAAAATAACCAAACTGCTCCTCATACGAAACAAGTTGGGGCATTTGTCTTTAGCCTCGTGCTTTGGTCAGAGAAGGGGGCCTACGTGCTGGGACTTAGGAGGTCCTGGCTGGGTTGTGGGCCTCCGGCAGCTCAAAGGCTTCATCCAAACGTGAACACCTCCACCCCAGCCATCAAGTGTCCTCAGGTGTTCTTTTAACCTGATTACATCTATACAGGAGAATGAACCCCACAACTCGCTAAGGCTAGCCACTAGCTTTCACTCGTAGGAAGCTGACTGCCACTTTGAGAACTTGTTAATAGGGGTATGTTGGGGATCCTGAGAAAGTGGAGATGTTCTCATTCGAAGACCTTGGTGTGCTAAAGGGATCGACACAGAGAAACATCAAGGCAGCTTCAGGAGGAATAGACGTCAGGGCAAGGGGTACTTTTAGACTGGTGTAGAGCATTTGAGCATGTTTGCAAGCTGAGAAGAGTGAATGAGTGGCTGAGTGGGAAAACTAAGCTGGAAAGAGAACTTGAGGAACAGAGTAAGACGGACGATGAAGAGTGTCTTTGACGCATGAAACGTTCACATCCCGCAGCGATGCTGTAGGCTTCCTCCCCCTAGCAGAGACCCAGCAGTGGAGGGTGCCCTTTCTCCCAAGGCACTTGGGTCAAATAGCGCTCTGTTTGGGAAGCTTGCTGAGGGGGGTAGGAGAACACTTCTCTCACGAGTATTTCATTCTTGTTTCATCTAACCCCTCTTTAGTGGGGTGCACTCACTTTCCACTGGGCTTCCTGACTCCAGGTCAGGGATGCTGGTTTACCCTCTCCACATACTACTGAGAAGAATTCTGGGAAGTGACCTGGGCAGAGCGGGGACACCTCTGGGGGTTCGGTGCTTCTCAAACAGCTTCTTCTGGAGCCTTTTGGGGTAACTCCACCTTTATTTTCTGGTCCAGAAATGCCCGGTGCTATCAATTCCCTCACCTTTTCGATTCTGGAGGGGAAATTGGGTTGATTTTCAGTGTTCTCCACTGCTGCTTTGGATTTAAACTTTCTCAGGTTTTCTAGGTCAGTTACCATTCCTTTGCTCTCTAGCTTCCAAACTTTTAAGTTTATATCTTTCCCAGTGCAGACTACTTTAAAATAACACCTGAACCAAAAATGTAATGTATTTTGGATTCATTCATGTCTTTGATCTCAAAGTTTCTCATTGCTTTTACTTCAGCAGCTCTGTCAAGGAATTTATACTTTGGTCCAGTTGCGATCTCAAGTGTCTACAGCGGCCAGGCAGGTGTTCTGGCTCTTCTCACTGGATCGAAACCCTAGACAGGCCAGGATCAGGAATACTCGGGAAGTCTGGGAGCATCCTGGCGCAGTACAACTCGGGCCCTCTTGCTCATTCGGACAGTAGGAGAAAACTCGCTCTGGGCCTATGGACGGCAGTAGACTAGAGATGATGAGGTCACAAGACAAGAGGGCCTGAGACACTCCCCACCTCCCCACCCTGCTGGTTCTCCTTGCCCATGGTTTGTGCTTGGAGAGGACAGTTTTAGAAGTTCCCACGTGTCCCCAGTGAAGAGCACGGGAAATAGGTAAGTCGTGCAGGTCAGGGCCATTGTCATAGCACCCCTGTAGGAGGGCACAGTGCTGAAACAGAGCCAGAGGCCAGAACGCCCCTGGAGTTCAGGTCTGACTCCAGCAAAGGCTCAGCTGGTGCTTTCGTAAGTGCTGGTGGAGGGGGGCTTGTGGCCTAGTCCCAACTATGCCGAGAAAACAGACCACAAGGGAAACCAGGGACTTCAGCAGTGGACGCAAGCAGGACCCTGGGGACCGGCAGCCCCTCCCTGCCTCAAGAGGTCCCTGAACTGTCTCCTCTCACTGGATCGACATCTTGGAGATGCTATGTTGGGAAGGAGGAGGTGGTGATCAACCTTTGAGCACAAAGAAACAGCCTTGATGGAGTCTGAACCTTGAATTTGACTGAGCATTTATCTGAAAGAGGCATTTAACACGAAAGAGACTATTTCAAAACAAAAGAAACTGTTTTAATCTGAGACTGCATTACCTGTAACTAGCAAACTTAAATGTCCCTTCTGTCGGCAGAAATGGTGGGCTCCCAAGAAAGAGTAAATGAGTAATAAAAACAAACGAAGCCACGTGTTCTTAAAATACCTGCATCGTTAGTGTACATATGATTGGGCCCGCTCACTGGAATGTTGATTTTCGCTAAATTCATCGAGCGCCACTTCATTAGGTATTTTAAAATGTTTTACGTGTTTCTTATGTATGTTGCAACCAGTGGTATGATTGTTGCATATAAAACTAGAGAAATCCAGGGACTTTCTCCCGGACATGCACTTTAATGGTTAAAGCATATAACAGGCTGTGCTAGAATACACGGTTATCATTTGGTACTTACTACAATTGCCAAACCACTTTGTTAAGGAAAGACAGCTAGACTCCCCCAAATAGCTTGACGTTTACATGTTTGATGGTTATAATATAAATTTAAACTGTGGAGTATGACATACAAAAAAAAAAAAAAAAGATTAGTTTAAATGTCATCAAGTTATTTCTAGCCCCAAAGAGAGAAAGTTGCAAAACACAGCCGAGGGCGGGCGTTTGCCTCCCATCCCCTCTCCTAGCAACGAGATAAACAAGCCTTGGTTTTAGATTTGGACTCTACAGTTTGCTCTACTTCTGCCCAAAGTCATGAACGTCTCCCCGTGTAAGTGTGCGTGCGTGCTTGCGTGGGCGCTCGGTCTGCGTAGACTTAAGCTTTGGGATAAAGAGTGACCGTGTCGTAGCCCTCCGGGGGCCTCGTGCGGGCTCGGGCGTGAGTTTCGCAGTACAGCTCGCCGCCCACGAAGAAGTAGCCCTTCTGCTTGAGGTTGAGGTTGCAGTCGGCACACACAAGGCACTCCGGATGCCGGTACTTGTCCCGGGCCTTCACCACCGCTCCGCTGGGGAGGAAAAGGAGACCAGTCAAGAATGCCACGCCCACACCCTGGTGCAAAGGTGACAAGTCCCGATAAGGCAGGTGGTGTCTGTTTTACACTCAGGAAACCCGAGCCTCCAGCCGCATAAAGGGCCCAGCGGTGACACCGATGTAATTGTCAGGGAGGTGGAAGACCGCCACCTGAACCATGGCGCCTCTCTGATGTGCACATTTGTCAGACTTTCAAACAGGCCATTGACTTAGAAACTGTAGGCTCTTACTTCATGATCTCTCCCCATTGTTTCTTTGCAAGGGGGAGACATGATTCTGCAGAGATGCTGCCTGGCCAAGGGTGTTGCCTACACAACTGGAAGTCCTCTCTAGCGCGGTGGCCCAGCCTCTCTTCTGTGGAGCCCAGCAAAAGCAGATCAAAGACAGAGGTGGCAGTTACACAGCAGGGGACTTGCCTCTACTGTCAAAACTGTTTGCTACAATTTAGGACCAAGGATTGCTTTTGCTAATGTCACAAACTGCCCCGTTTTAGGAGGAGCCTCCTGTCCTGCCTGTTTCTCTCTCCCTCCTGTGCTCTGTCCAGGCTCATCTCCCGCCGCCCCCTGGGAGGTACCCTGGACGACTGGACAGATGGAGCCTCGTGGGAGCCTGTGGGAGCAGAACAGAAGAGGGAGGGGAGGGGGGGCCCACGGGGCGTTGGCGGTGGACAGATTGCAATGACCTGGTTCACTCGAAGCCTTGAACCAGCAAGTGTGGGTATTCAAACATAACGGCCCTTGAAATGGAAGCTAGCACTACATTTTAAAAAATTGTTTGAATATTTGTGCAATTTAAGAAACCGGGGTAAGACTGTTTTAACCAACAACCTGACGACTGCCCTGTTTGTCTCTCTGGTTTATACAGAAAAGGAAACACTCACAGGCTGTATCCAACAAAGGGAGGGCTTTTTGAAGGGCGGTTTTGGTTCTTGGAAATGATTTGAAAAATTTATTTTGGGCCATTTGTTTTTTGTTTTTGATTTTTCATGAGAACAATCTGAAATTATGTCAAGACTGCTGACTCACATTATATGACATTTTAGGGTACATCTAAGAAATCCTGGTCAAACGTGGCAAGAGTGGTGGATACTGTATTTCAAGTCAATGAGTGGAAATGGAGAGCTGCTGCCAAGGCTAACAGGGAACCCCTGGGTTAAAGTGAAACTTACACAATGCCACTCCCGCATTTGTCGCAGATTGGCATCTTCTGGGTGCCGCCAGCACTGCCCGGGGCTTTTGTAACTGGAGCTCTCACACTCCGAGTCCCAGCGGGACGCTCATCTGAAAAACAAAGTGTTTCCATTTATGGCAAAGGAACAGCTGGCTCCAGTTTGCTCTGCGCTTCTATTTTAAGGTGTGCACTTTAACCTAAGGAATTCTTCAGTTGCTCCCGTAGTATCATTTCAGAAGGAGCGGGAGGAGTTCAAGCATACCTTGCTCTGAAACAGGGCCTTATAAGACAGAGGTAACGATTTGTGTGGTTGTAGGGAGCTGTTACAAAACACTCAAAAGAGCAGAGAACACTTTGTATTCTTTTTATTGTGGTAAAATATACACAATAAAAAGTTGACTGTCTTAATCATTGTTAGGGTATAATTCGGCGGCATTAAGTGCATTCACAATGTTATAAAATTATTGCCTATATCCAGTTGTGGAAATTTGTATCATCTCAAACGGAAACTCTGTACCCATTAAACATTAACTCCCCGTTACCCTCCCCTCCCAGACCCTGGCAGCCTCTATGGTAATTCCTGTCTCTATGGCTTGCCTATTCTAGGTACCTCATGCCCACATAAGTGGAATCACACAGTATTTTTCCTTTCATGTCTGGCTTATTTCACTTAGACTGTTTAAAAGTTTCATCCATGTTGCAGCAGGTGTCAGAATTTCATTCTTCTCTAAGGCTGAATAATATTCCATTGAATGCATAGATCTATTGTTTATCCACTCATCTATCAATAAACATTTGGGTTGTTTCCACCTTTTGGGTATTGTCAATAATGCTACTGTGAACATCAGTGTACAAGTATCTGTTTGAGTCCCTGCCTTCAGTTCCCCTGGGTGTACCCAGGAGTGGGCTTGCTGGACCATATTGTGACTCCATGTTTAACTTTTCGGGAACTGCCACGCACTGGCCCTACCATTTTACACTCCCATCGGCAGTATACAAGGGTCCTCATTTCTCCACATCCTCACAATACTTATATTTTCCCTTTATTTTTGACTAGCCATCCTAAGGGGCCATTTTGCATTTTTGTGCAACTTTGAAAGAAGAGTATGTGTCTTTTGGGAGTGGAAAAACATTGGTAAGAGGAGGAGCCCTGAAGCTGAAGGAGGAGGCTGCATACCCACCTCTGCTTCTTATTGGCTGTGTGTACAAATCCACCCTCTCTGTGCCTCAGTTTCTCATAAACGGAAAATAATAGCTTCTACCTCACAGTAATCACGAGGATTAAACGATCACATATGTGCGTAGCACAGAATATGGAACATACTACGGGTTCAGTACATTGTTATTTTAAAATTTTGATGATGATACTCTGGAGTATGGGGAGGCTGAGAAATTTTGCGATATCCACTTAAAACTCTTAACAATTTGTGAGCTCAGATAGCCCTTGACGCCTTTGAATGGCATTTGCGTTTGGTGCCTTTTTACAAATTGGTGGCTACCTGGACACATCCTGGAAGCTCCTTTCCTAAACCAGGCACCACTCAAATTCTCTGAGCAAAGATTCATCTGATTTCTGAATAAAGTCAGTATTTAGACTTCCATCCCCAGTATGTTTGCTGTCCTCCCCTCCCCCTAGCCTCCCAACAGGCTATCAGTAACTTTCCCTAGACGTTCATGTCACTCACCATCATTAACCAACTCCTGGAGCACCCTGAAGGAGCCCGACTGGCGGGGCCCAGTGGGCTCCTCCCGTTGGTCGTGGAGCATCCGGTACACATCCGACTGGGGGTGCACGGAGGCTGTGGGCTCACTGAAACAACACGGCAGCGAGTGGGGTCAGGGGCGTGCGAGGCAGGACGTGCTCGAAGCCACAAGACATCAGTGAGCAGTCATCACTGTATCTGCAGTAACTCCTGAGAGTCAGATCCTCAAGTTCATCTCTATCACAGCTCAGCGGCAGTGTTTATTCACATGGGCTGCCTTACACATCACAGCTCGCCTGGGCTCCCATCAGCACGCCCACTGGCAAAATGCTATGGAGCGCAACTAAAATGTGACTGTTCGTAGCAATTTAAAAAAGATGCGTCTGATGGGTATAGAATTATAAATAGAAACAAAACGAACATTTTTTCAGAAAAAAGGCAACCTATGCATGATAGACAGTGCAGGAGTGAGCTCAGTTCCATTATTCTCAGTCATAAAATTGTCATTAAATTTAGATTCATTTCTGATGTTAAAGTATATGGTTTAATTTTATTTTTAAGATTAATCTGCTTTGTTAACTCCTGGAAAATAACAGAGGTATTTTGCTTGTAAAATGAAACAATTGGAATTGCCAGTGTTTGAAAGCAGCAATGCAGAAACTTTCACATAGAAGAGTTATATTGACTGGACGGCATTTTCTGAATAGCCACACTATAATTAATTTACAACAACAAGAGAAACTTTATTTTAATACTCTTTCTGCAAATATATTCATGATGAACAATAAAAAAATGCCACAATAAAACTATATATTAAGTACTAAATACTTTATTATTTTCTGTCATCTAATGGCATTATCTAGAAAAGGTAGTTGCTATCCACACATAATCTTATTACCTATATGAAATGTGGAAATAATTACCTCATATATTTGAATTTCTTTGCAAAATGGCTTTGGGATACATTATGCTATTATGATGTTATTGTTTTCATCCCAAGAAATAGCTTTGGGATATTGTTACACAGCACCATTCTGCATTTTACTACTTTAATTTACAAAAGGTGGTTCTGTAATACTGGAAAAAAGTAATAAGATTTTCTTATAGTAAATTTTTTAATTGAAAAAAACTTGATGGCAAAAATACTTTGAACACATATTTATAATAAAAAATTAGTCAAAATAGTGACCATTGGAAATCATCTACTTTAATAGCTTGAGACATTCACTTATAAACCCTTATTCATGGCAGAAATTTTAAATGGGAAAAGAATGACCTCTCCACAGAATGCCATTGGACGAGAGAAGTATCATCTTTTATACAAGTCCTCCCACCTCCCGTCCTTTCCCAGTTTTTGACCCACAAAGAAGGAACATAGAGTACACTAGAGTATTAATCACTTTTGAGAATGATTGTACCAGGCATTCGTAAAGTACATTGTAGCTTTTCAAAACATAGTTTTGGTCCTTCCAAGATTTCAGCATCTTACCATCAGTCACATAAAGTTCTACTTAATTCTTCAAACCACCTATATCAATAGGCCTAGATACTTGCAGGGAATCCTTAGCACCTTCTCTGCAAAGCTTTTCACATGCTTTCTTTCCGTTAAGACAGTGTTAAAAGACACCCGCAAAGTGGACATCGCCCGTGCGTTTGGTTAGTAAGCCCACGGTTCAGACAGACTCATATTACCTCATGGAGGGTGCTTCCCCTAGAGCTGTTGAAACCTGACCCTGAAGTGTTTCCATAATATTGTCATCTGAGTACAACTGCATAGGTGTATTAAACTGAGCATGTACAATCTTCACACCGGGAAGTTCCATTTCCAAAGGAATGTTAGGGGCCATCTTAGCAGCAACTTTCAAGTCACCTGGGCAAATAGTACTAACAGTGCTGACGGAGGAAGGGGTGCTACGTCCGCTGCTACCGTCGACACCGGACGGAGTACTGCACCCACTGTGTTAATGACCACGTGACACAGAGACGACACAGGAACCGGGACGACCAGACGGGAGAACACAGAGAACACAGAGAGGTTAAAAGGAATTGAAGACAAAAAGGAAGAAGTGAATGAAATAAAATGAAAACAAACCGTTGATCTCTGGCTATGACTTATTTTAAATGGGGAGGACATTTCAAAATTCATGATTGAAAAAGGTTTCACAAAATGCAAAGGTGCAGGTGATAATGCATTTTTTGGCTCGTTCTACCAGGCAATGGGTAAGTTGAAGGTTACACGTGAACAAGTTGTATACAAAGTAGAAAAGATGCGACCATACTCGCGTTTTAGAGAATAGGACAGATCATTTTAAACCTGATAATATCACAGACAGATGTTCAGGGAAATCACATTGGCGGGGCATCCTGTTACATTTCTGAGGTTCAGTGTTTAAAATGAAAAGATTAATGAATGATGCATACCAACAGTAACTGAATATGCCGCATGCAAGTCCAATGAAATGTTTGGGCTAGGCATTTCAAAAAGAGTATGTTTCAGAAATACAATTGAGTTTACTTGAATAAGAATTAGAAACATAGGTTATACGATAAAGATTATGCTTTAAGGCTATTTTTTAAATGTTTTATTTGAGTTATTTTAACTTTTTTTACTTTCCTCCTAATTTTGTGAGGAATAGAGCTTTTAAAAATGTTTCAGTGATTGAATATAGGCTCTAGAACAGCCAACAAATGCTTGTCACCTTGCAGTAATGATTAGAGAGCAAATAAGCTCAGCGCGGACTCTTGGAGGCTACTTAGGGCTAAAATATCTTTCTTTTCTAGATCGCTATTTCATGTAAACTTTTGAAAACACACATATCACACATATATTCATGCATATTTATCATTTCCTTTTACAGACAAGTTGAGGGGACTTCTTATTAAAACATCAGAAAGGCCAGTCATGCAATTTTCAGAACAGCTAGGGAGAGCTCATGTCCTCTGTGAAGCTAGATAGGAGGCTGGTCACCACGAACATGCCAAGGACTGACTCCTCATGCCTCTCCATGCATTCTGCATACAGCATAAGAAATGCATTTTACGAGAAAATTAAATATACTGAGACTTTAAAAAAGCACAGTCATTTAAGACAAAGCCAAAAGAAATATTAGTATTAACATAAACTCTGTCATTCCTACAGGTTAGTGTTCCTGCAAATCCAAGACAGAAACCAGTTGCTACGGTGTGTTTATCTCAACATCAGTGTTCTCTCAGGCTCAGGTATGACCCATCCTTGTGTTTATTCTCTAGGGCTATTAATGTTAGCCTCAGCCCCATACAGAGAGTGAAAACCAAAAGGAATTGGGGCATTGATTTTGTTGACTTCATCAATGTCACAGCCTGATTAATCTGGACAACCCATGCCACTAAATGGATCAAACTTTTTTTTTTGGTCTTTTGTTATCCAATTCAACTACTTGCAGAGCCTAAATGAGGCAGGTACATATGGACTTGCTCCTTCATTCCTTGGCTTGAGAACCTGTTTAAAACACAATCTGTGAATTGGTTGATCACATACCAAATGCCAAGCGCCTTATTCCCCCTTTCTGTAGGCTCAACACTACCCTGGCTTCTGAAACTGACTTCAGTTGGTAAAAGAATAGAAGTTAAATTTCAGTTGTAATGCAGTTTAGTCAGGATCATATTGATTTGATCTAAGTGTAATGAAGCTTATTCAATTGCAATTTAGGGATTTGAAACACTTGAGTTAAACCTTGGAGACTCGGGATTAAAATAGTGAATCTTTTCATCGAGAATTTATACCTACTACGATCTTACTGTGTCCGGGCACAGTGCTAGTGGGTGAACTTGGACATAGTCCTCTTTTTACAGTTGTCATTAGCAATCTTCTTCTGTTGTTAGTGTTCTTTATACATGTGTGTTTGTGTATATAACATTCTTTAAGCAAAGATTGTGTCTATTTCCTAACGTTTTATTATTCTATTTAGGGGCCCTTGTTTACTGAATAGATAGGAAATAAGCTCTAAGCAAACAAGAATTAGTTCTTAATAAATTTCTGGGACAATTTCAAAAGAACTCTTGAACTGATGCTTTAAAAAAACTTTTTTCGCTCTAGCCAGTGTGGCTTAGTTGGTTGGGTGTTGTCCCGTGAACCAAAAGGTTACTGGTTTGATTCCCAGTCAGGGCACATGCTGTGTTGTGGGCTGGATCCTGGGGGGCATGCGGGAAGCAGCCAATCAATGTCTCATTTTCACATAGATGTTTCTCTCTCTCTCTCCCTCTCCCTTTAAAAAACACTAAAAAAATTTATAAAAAAAATCTTCTTGGACTCCAGTCACTCACATCACCGTGGGTCACCGTGACCTATTCCTGTGACTTGGAAAGGTAGGTGCTATTGCCAATGAGCTTTCTTGATGTTGACTTACTGACTTGCCAAGACCACCTGTAAAGCTGATGACACCCCCAGTTACTTCACTCCTGGACAGACCGTTAGAGAGAGAGCTGATTTCTCTGGCGTGTGTACAGACTTTGTGGGACATGCTCCTGGAAGCGACTTGTCCAGAACCACTCACAGGGTTGTATTGTATCATTTGGAGCTATAAAATACCTTGTATATATTTTTAATGACAGCTTTGGCTTTAAAAATGTACATACTTGCATATGAAAATACTGGCTTTTTAATATGCTTCAATAATAAAAAAATAACTCAAAGAACCATAACTAATGGTAAGACCTTAGGGCGGCGATTTTCAACCTTTTTTATCTCATGGCACACATAAACTAATTACTAAAATCCTGTAGCACTCCAAATAATATATTTTTTACTGACGTGACAAAAGAATAGGCATATTTTTTATTCCTTCACACTGGACGGCTATTGTTGTGTTGGCTGTTGTCAGTTTTTTATTCGACAAGGGAAAAGAGTCAGTGCCCTGACTAAACAGTCAGATATCACATGTAAAAATTGTGTGTGTCTCCTGTAGCACACCCGTTGAAAATTGTTGCCCTAGGGAGGTGAACATATAAACAGTGTAGCATTTCCAACTTACTTCTGATTAAAAAGTTGGTCATTTGGTGTAGTTATAGCTTGGTATGTAGCCATTCAAAATTCCACTGTGATGAAGAATCATTTGGTGAGACAAGAAATCCAGCAACTGAACAGTGAGGGAGCACAGGGAAGAAGGGAGGGCAGTAGAGACATTTTTGCAGTTCTTTGAGGTTTCTGTACTGGTACCTGTTTTTTTAAGCAAATCTCTCATCCTTGTTTCTCCTCCCCCCTTTCCAAATTCAGCTATATTGAAAGGCACCCTACAATGACCAAATTATGAGGAGTTTGATAGTATCACCATACTTGAATTAAAATGAAGATATAGGGTGAGGCAAACGTAGGTTTACAGTTGCTCGTATGGAAAGTTATACAATAATTAATAAATAATAATACAAGAATAAGCTCTGTGTTTTGAGTGCTCACAACTGTAAACCTACTTTTGCTCCACCCTGGATAAAAGAAGGGCATTATGTACCTGAATCTCTCTGACTTGCCCTGAATTTTTAAAAGAAATGTTTTTGTTGATCTTTTAGAAAGAGAAGAAGGGGGGGAGGGGATAGAAGCATTGATGTGAGAAACATCAATCAGCTGCCTCCTGCACTCCCCTGCCCCCTACTGGAGATTGAGCCCACGTGTGCCCCGACTAGGAATCAAGCCGGTGACTTCTTGGTACATGGGATGACACTCAATCCACTGAGCCACATCACTGGGCTGCCCTGAATTTTTATAAAATCAAATGTTATTGGTTTTTAGGAAAGGCAAGCTATGGGTTACTCTAATAAATCATTTTATTCAAGACTCTTGCATTCCTATAGCTCAAGTTAGTGAACTTAATTTATGCTTACCTCAAAATAATGCAAGTATATTAGGTTACGTGTGTTTCTTTAGGAAGATGTGTCTATATTTATTCAATAGTAAAACAGCATTTTAACATTTAGTTGACTGTTGCTATATTATCAGGACTGGGTTGGGGAAGTTGTTGACTGTGGAGAAATAGGGAAAAGGTGCAGAAGAAAATGAAAGGGGACCAAGAAGACAAACAGAAGTAGAAAGAGACCGTGCAGAGCTGCAGGTGTGAGGGAGGGATCACACTCCTGGGTCTGCTTTCCATGCGGAAAATATTAGGCACTTTTCAGATGTTGTTCTTTTAACAAACATTTCCTGAGTGTTTACTCTGTCCAGCTGTGTTTGTCGGAGGGGATATAGTCATGTGCTTCCGTTCTAGTGGGGGAAGATGTATTTTGTAGTCATTGCCTTTTTAGCATCTTTCTCCTACTCTTTCTCAGTCTGATATTATAAAATCGTCTGGCTTATTGTGAGGCAATCCTCTGCTCCTGACTCTAGCTTCTGGAAGGATCTGAACATGAACATCACATATAAGCGATGACTGACCGCCCACAGCAGGCACCCTAACCTCAGATGTCTCCAGGGGCCAGGAGGGCCGCACATACAGGAACATGGGCCAGGAATCACACACTGAGCAGTGAGGGGCATTTATTTGGACAAGCTGGAGAGTAGAGGTTCCATTTTAAAGGCACTTTCCTAAGTTCATTTAAATAGTTGGAGGGTTAAATAAAACATTGCCTGTGAGTGAATCCACCTATGGCCCACTGGTTTGGGAAACCTGACACAGATCATTATTCAATGTTCCCAACCTGCTAGGATCAATGTGGGCTAACCACCAACTTCCTTCCTCTGGGCTGACTAATGTCACTGAGGTCAGGGGAATGGGTTTCTCCCAGCCACCCTGCCCTGAAACAGGGCATTCATTTCTAGAGAAGATATTTGAGAAGGGTCGTCTGAAGGTGATGTTTCTCTGATTGACAGCACTGAAGTGGGCTCATTATTCCAATGTGTGCACAGCTTTCCACGAGGGTCACCCATCTATAGCCATCCCCCCAACTCTGTCTTAATTACTTATTTCCCCCAGGTGGGAAGTTCCTTTTCCAGTGCCCTCTCTTCCTTTGAAGGATCCACAAACTTGAAAATGGATGTTTATGTTGGGGCTAGAATGAGCGGGGTTGCCCAGCGGGCTCTGTCGGTGCGGGAGAAGCGGGTGCAGAGGGGGTTGCTGAGCACGTGTAACAGATAAACGACGCCAGCGCCCCTACCTGCTTCCTTACTGCTGACCCGAGGGCTGGTTTCCATTTTTCCTGCTGGCTGGGCCTTCCCGAGCTGGGATAGGGTACATCTGCCTGCCTCAAAGGTCACTGTGTTCGGGAGGGGCTCCCCAGGGGCAGGAGTTATAAATACATGCGGTGATTGCATAACATTGCCACTGTAATCTTGTCAGTGTTTACTCTTGGAAATGGAGGTTAGTTGGCTCTATACTCTGATGACTTTGTTTCCTTTGCTTTTGAAATAAGCTTAGAAATGAAAAAAAAAAAAAAAAAAAAAGTCACTGCAAACACCTACAAGTTACTTTTCGTGGTGATTAATAAGGATTTGTTAAAGAAGCATGCACTCCAAACGTCACGATCTCAAAGCGTATGACCTGCTCCGGCCTGGGATTATGAAAGGTTTGGGCCGAATATTGTGCTTGTGTTCAAAGTAGTTCACATCCTGCGAAAACAAAGCGTTAAGAAGTCCCTCAGTGGCAGACTCGTCTGGTTTTCAGATAAAAGCCAATGAACAGTAATTGTACAGAGCAGGTTATTTACCACCAAATATTGACATGACTAAGAAGGGTGATGATGGAACCAGGCGGTTTCTTCCTTTTAACCGTCGATTCACTAAATATTCAGGAACTGGCGCATTGGAACCATGGTCTAGATGCTTGACTTTAAAACAAAAATCTGATCATGCCTTCAGGAACATGAAAGTAAAACAGCAAGAGCTGGACTTTTGAAAGGAAAAGAAAGCGGGCTAGCGCTGTTAAGAACAGGGTGGCCAGAGATGGGGTCTGATACTTACTTTTGAGGTGAGCTAGGAATGAGACCCCGCAGCTGTCCGTGAAGCGCATCTTGTATATTGCTAGTTGAATAGAGCCCAATGGGTGAGTTATAGGAAGCGCTCACTACCTGTCTTTTGTCATCAATGTTTGCTGCTGCAACAAAAGGCTGGGCCCTTCTGTTGTGCGCGGTACCAATGGGTTTGAACTCCTGTACAATGGCAGACAAAATACACAGAGCCACAGAATGCACAACAAAGCCGTTAATGAGCAAACCAACAGCATCGCTACTGTTAATTAAGGCTTCTTTCCCTACTCCAGGATTCACGGCCCGGTTACAAGGAGGAGTTAGGTATAAACCCTTCTGCATGTCCCGGGAAGTGCTGTGTTCATCCGCCAAATGTCATGAGGCAAAGGGAATGATTCAAACCCTGTGTCTTCCGCCTGCTCCTGTTCACATCCACATCTATAGCTTTTAGAAAATTCTCATATAACTCATTCGAATAAATGAGATTTTTTAGCCTAGAAAAACTATTCTACTTATTTTCTCGAGTAGAACTTACATTTGCTTTATCTTCTATTCATACTTGAATAAAATTCCCCTCGTTTTAGGAAATGAAGGAGTGAACCAGAAAGGGGGTGAGCATTTGTGAATAGCTATACTGAATCATTCTAACTAATCCGAGCAAAAGTTCTGTCTTTTCTTAATACCCACAACGAAAAACCCCAATTCTTAATGTGGATTAAGTTATAACTTAAGTTCAGAAAAAGTAATTATTAAAAGACTCTTTTTTACTTATGGAAGTGCAAATAACATTTGTAGAACCCCCCCCCCTTTTTTTTTATCCTCACCCGAGGATATTTTTCCATTTTTTGTTCAGATAGAGTGGGAGGGAGAGAGAGGAAGGGAGAGAGAGAGAGAGAAACATCGACGTGAAGGGACACATCGAGTGGCTGCCACCCGCACGACCAACCAGGGCCGGGGACAAACTGCAACCGAAGTACATGCCCTTAGCGGGAACCGAACCGGGTCTCTCCGGACCGCAGGCCGACACTCTAACCGCTGAGCCAAACCGGCCAGGGCAAAACCCCCTTTTTTGTTGCGATGATTTCCTGCTTGTGTTTAACGGACTCTTCATGCACAGTCCGAGAAAGACTACAGTCCGTAAGCAGAGCCAGCTCATGCGCACGGCTCACAGCAGGACTTTCACTTGACTGTGTGGGGAAAGGGTCGAGCATCAGAGTCCTACACTCTGAATTTGAGATATGCCTGAATGATCTGAAACTCTAGATTATTATGTTAATGTGAGAATCATGTTTTCTACTTTTTATAGCGATTTATAGCTTCATAAAATCATTACCTTTTTTTCTAAGCAACAGAAGAAAACCAGAAGCGAACGCTGTACCACACGGCCAGCTCCTCCCAAACCTCTTCATTCGGCAGACTTCGTGAGATAAACCGCGGCGGTGACATTTTCACCCACGTGTTCACATTAACTTAATTTACCCCTGTGAACGTGTCATCAGTGTTTCACTCACATTTCAAGCAGTACAAACATTATGATTATTTGGAATGCGACCAGAAAGAGATATTTGATTAAAAATAAAAAGATCTTGGCCTGGCTGGTTTGGCTCAGCGGTTAGAGCGTCGGCCTGCGGACCAGAGAGTCCCCGGTTCAGTTCCCGCTAAGCGCACGGCCTCGGTGCAGTTTGTTCCTACCCCGGTTGGGGTTGTACGGGTGGCAGCCAGTCGATGTGTTTCTCTCACACGGATGTTTCTCTCTCTCTCTCCCCCCCTCCCTCCCTCCCACTCTATCTGAAGATAAATGCCAAAGTGCCCTTGGGTGAGGATAAAAAAAAAAAAAAAAGGTTTTGTAATATTCTCGTTCATGCCATTTTCCCCCTTCTTGTCATTACAGATGAGTAAGTTGTGAGATAGTGTCTTTTTTTGTTGGACAGCATATTTTTTTAAGGTGGAACCAGAGTTTTGCATAGAGATTTCTGTGCCTGAGAACAGCCATTTCCTGCAGGGACCTAAGCAGCATAATGCTTTCTTTTGGTTCCCCTGAGCAGGCAGTCACCACACACGTTCCCCGTGTCCCCATCTAGGCCTACTGGCAGAACCCACTTAAAAAAATAGTTATGACAAGGCAAATGGGGTATAGCGTCAAAGGAGTCTTCCACTCCAGCTGCCCCAAATCTCATTGCACCTAAAATCTGTGATGTGGTCAAGAGCAGCTTCTCTCTCACCAGCTTTGGACAGCATATTTTAACAGCCTCCTGAACTTGATAAAAAGGTCTAAGTGGACTACATTAGTCTATGATTCTATAGAGTGATGCCACTGACTACCAGCTTATTGATTCCTTTCTTTTTCCTCCAGAATAATGGCTCACTGCCTCAGGGTTGGTATGGTGACGTTATATTAGCTAGCAGAATGACTAAAAACAACCAAGTGTGGCTTTAGAAAAATACTGAATCCCAGAGTATGTGAAAATGTGTGTAGTCAAACATTTACATAGTGGTATAATCTGATCATTTTGGCTGATTTAATAATGAATGTGGATTGGCTGTGTTTTATGATTAACCAGTATGATTAGGCATTATTGTGGCATGAAATTGTGAAATGGAAATAATTTTAAGTAATTACAATGGCCATGATTCAAGTCTTTGTTACTATTTTTTTTATATGAAAGAAGACAGAAGGCTAATTGCCTAATTAGTTTTGGTGGATTATAAATCTCAGGCTAATTAGAGAGTGAATCAGTCAGGACTCAAGCTATTTGAAACTTAGCTTTTTGTGTGTTTGTTTGTTTTTAAACAGAGTATGATACACTTTAAAGATTTTGGTAAATAGAACTGAATTTATAAAAATTAGTTAACATCATGTGATGGCTTTATGGGGAAAATCTCTGCCCTTATTTTATTAGTCTTAAAATGATAAATAAACATGGATGGTGATTGTCTGTAAGTGAAGGAACTTTTTAAAAACAGTTGTGCACTAACAATCTCTAGGTGTACTTACAAATAGCAGCACGTAAGTCAATCAACTCCAGCTTTTTCTTTGCCATTTTCAATTTTGCATATATGTTGCAAAGGTCATGAATGTGTAATTTGGTAAGGAAAAAATAACCACTCTATTTTCTAGTCAGATCATAAAAAGAAGTTTTTCTAATACAAGCTTCAAACATTCATATTTAGGCTTTGCAAAGCATTAGTTTATGGGTTGCTAGAGTCATTCCAAAAATGCACAATGAAATGTGTACACCAAAGGTAAACAAAAAAAATTTAACATGGCACAGAGGCAGCATTCTGTCCAAGCCTTACATCACCGTTGACTTTCAGACAGAATGGGAAGACAAAACCAATGAGACATTTGCTATTCCAGTTTGATTTCTTTTTCTTTTATAGTGGAAAATCATTAGTAATGGAAAATACCAGTAAAACCTTTATATAGCAGTTAATAGAGTCCAGCTCTTGTGTTTATTCTATCCAGACAAAAGCATCCAAATGATTCTTATCTCTCAGGCATTCAATAAATAACCATTGCAATTGACTGAATTTTTAAATATTATTTTTAAACGTTAGGAGCTTTTTAAAGGAATAATATTGGGAATTAATGAAATGGTAGGGCTGTCGGGGTACAAGCAGAGATCCGCTGACATTGGGAGAAAGCTCTTGGCCCCAATCTTGCGAGTCCTGGAATGACCACCAGTGACATCAAAGACAGTCCCCTTTCAGTTTCTCACTTGGAGAAGTTGTCACAGGAAGATTGAATCTGAGAACTGAGGCAATTGTCAACTCCAACAAACGTGTCTGATAATACGCATAGATCGTATTTATAAGAAAAAATGGTGGGGAAATAAGGGAAAGACGATATCAAGTGATCATCTATTTGATCAAGCCGCACCGATTAAATGATTATCTTTTATAATGTCTGGGATTTACGAACAGTCATTGCCCCCGCCTCACCCTTATTAATACTTTCTGCAGAGCTCCGTTTTGTGTTTTTCTGATTTCTCACTGGGGATCAGGAAAACTTGCTTTGTGTCGGCTGCTATCCAGTTCTGAAAACGTTGTCGAACAAGGTTATTGCATGAAAAGATGCAGCACTTCAGCCCTTACCCCACTTGAGGTGCATGTAATATGCCTTTATTCTCAACTCTTCAATGACAAGGATTCAGTCCTTTACAGGATGTAGAACTGAACCAGTTTTGTGTCGGAAAAGCGTCTTTCCTGCCTTGTGAGAGCTACATTGTAACCTTGAGTTGTTCCACTAACATTAAACAAAGAGGAGGGCAATGTTTGCTTAAGAACGCAGGCTTTGAAGGGCTGTCATGGGACTCAGGACTCTAACCTGCCTCCAGTCCAGAGCAAGGCTTTGGACAGAAAACGCACGTGCCAGCTCCCAGGCCGGGTTCGGGACGGTGTGGAAGGTGTTTCTTCAGTGGCTGGGGTTGATCTAAAGAACCTCTAAGGTTTTGAGTATAAATTCATAAAAACACAATTTAACTATTTAATAATGGCATGGAAAAATGAAAAACAAAACAAAATACCTACTTAGTAAAAATTTTGTATCCATTATTACTCTACCTGTGTAAGAAAAAGTTTCTAAAACCTAGCCCTATGCACAGGAGAAAAGATTGGAAATAAATATACTGACATTTTACTATCTGTGGCTGCGTTTGGATGGTAGGACATACAGTAGTGGGTTTTATTCACACATATATATTATTTTAAAAATGAAAAAGAGTATTTTATTCCAATAGCCACGGTCACATCACTTACAATAGGTGTTTGACTTGGGCTGAGAAACAAGAAGCCATGTTGTGTGTTGCTGGTGGCATTTTTCTGTTCACCTTCCTGGCACCTTAAAGCATGATGTATTAATGCATTTGTTTCTCAGACCGCCACACCTTTGTTGTCCAGAAGTTTGCAGAGTGCTCATTTGGGGGAAAAATGGCAACTCTGCGTAGCTTTGTGTTCATTAAGAAAAATAAAAGGAGACTATAAACATAACCACTATTTATCTTTTCTCCAGTCTCATTCTCCAAGTGAAATTCACTGCTTGGTTTTGATGCTGCACTTTGCTCTCGTTTCTGCTGTGGGGCTTCAGGGGCAGCCGCCGTGCTGGGGCTGAGCCGCACTGTGTAGGGAGCGTCTGTCCCGAGTCTGCCCCCGAGCGCTGAGCGTGCAGACACCTGGCCAGAGGGTGCGAGGAGCAGAAACCCTTTGGTCCATGGAAAAGAACTGAAGTGCTTCCTATCTCAAGCCTTTCGCACATCCTCCAGGAGGGGTGTCAGTAAGAATTACTCGTGACTCAAACGAAAGGAATGTTCAAAGGCCCCATCTGACAGCCTTCTGCGGTGCTTAGCCCAATCTTCACCTTTTAAAAAAAACCAAAAACTCTTTCTTTCCCTATCTTTCCCCCAGGTGTAGTATCATAAACGTTCCTATTGTCTAACCCCCAAAAATGCAGGACACCTGGGCTAACGCATGATTATTGAGAGGCCAGAGTATTTAAAATTAAGATTATGTTTTAAAATTCAGTTCTTGGAATAACCATAGTCATAAATTGATACTCATGGTTTACAAAAGGGGCCTCTTCCAGCACTATTGTGAGAACCGGTTCTCAGGATTGGTCCTGGGCAATGCAGTGTATTTTAGACCCTCCCATTCCTTTCATGTTTTAACGCAAAGTGATGTGTAATGATCCTCGTGACAGTAATGAGGAAGGCATTCCTGGTCCCTAGGGAGCTCTGTCCCCGAGGCAGTGGCCCATCTCACTGTGGAGGACAGGCCAGGGGGCCTTCTGATCACAGCCTGGTTTGTGTGTGTGTGTGTGTGTGTGTGTGTGTGTGTGTGTGAGAGAGAGGGGGGTGTACAAACAATTCCAGAGCTCCTACTGAACTCACGATTTCTATGAACAATTCAATGTACCAAGTTCTTTTTCTATCTTATTTTATGTAAATCTTTGAGAACCCCTGTGAGATGCATGTACATATACCCTCTGCGTGTAGCTCACAGAGAAGGAAATGGAGCTGATGGAGACAGTGGAAACCCCACGGAACGAGTGCAGGAGTTGATGAGCCCCAAACGGGAAACACAGATTACAAATATGCCTTCAGTTCCTTTTCATTAGATACCTAGGAAAACTACACCTTGGGAATGTCTACTCAGTTTCCTGAGAATACTTGTTTTAAACGGGATATTGAATTATATCTGTTTCTCTAAATTTGGGGGGCTTTTAAATAGAGGTTCTATAATCCTTTTCTTAATTACACTTTCCATACAGCACAGTGGAGGGTTGGTTTAATTTCAGATGTTTGGAGCCTTTGAAAGTAGACATGGTCAGATTCGCATCAGATTATTAAATGATTCTAGCTCAGTAGATAAAGTTGCCTCAAGGGAAAAATCTTTATCTTTGTAATTCAACTGCAGAGCAGAGTATCACCATGATTACATAATGCGAGACTTTTCATAGAGTAAATTTAATTATAGAATACCAGAACTGAGAATTAAAGAAGGCTGTAAAATAAGATCTGGGTGAAGACCTCGAAGGGTTGAAGTTCACAGTAACAGATTAGAGACACCTGTTACAAATAATTGCCCCCATCCCCATCACTTTTGCTTTGTTTTAACATCTTAAACTTCTTGGGTTACCTCATGGTCAACTGGCAGAAGTCCATCATAAAAAAAAAAAAAAAGCGTGGACTGTATGTAGATATAGCTACATTTTTCCTGATGAGAACATATTTGTCTTTTGACAAGATGTTTGCCTAGGCATCCATCTTTGTTTTCTTGATGTAAGAAAACATAGGTGATCTAAATTTCAGAGAATAAAGACAGACAGCTGCTTCATCAGGTGACTGATCCCCATTGTTTATATTTGCCACTTCTTCCTCTTGGAAGTCACCCACATCCTTTAAAAGCACATGTAAAGCGAACATCATTGACTCTAAAATTCATACCTGTGGTTCTGATTCTAAGTTGATTTTGAAAGGATGAGGCTTCCCGTCTTCAGAAACCTGCGGAGACCATAAGCGAGTTTCCGCCCTGTAAATGAAATCAAGTTCGTAAACTCCACGTTCTGACGATACCTCCAGTTTTAGTACCCTTCAGCTTCCTACGATGTTTGTGAAATTACTATTGACTCTTGATAATTTAAGCAAATAGTCCTTGCTCATTATTCTGTAGTCTCCCATCTAATTCGTCTTACGTATTTAGCGTACTTTGGGGGAAACTTGAATTGATCAAGGTGGACTGCTATGGACTGTTTGTGTCCCCCTCAAATTCTTACATTGAAACCCTAACCCCCAGTGTGACGGTATTTGGAGGTAGGGCCTTTGGGGGAAAATTAGGGTAAGATTAGGTCATGAGGGTAGGGCTTTCATGATGGGATTAACACCCTTCTAAAAAGAGGAAGAGACAACCTGTCTCTGTACACACACCTGGGGAGGCCACACGAGGACATAACCAGGAAGAGGCCCTCACGAAGAACCTAAGCGTGCTGGCACCCTGATCTCAGACTTTCAGCCTCCAGAACCGTGAGAGATAAATGAGTGTTTAGGCCACCCAGTCAGTACCTGGTATTTTTGTCATAGCAACCACACTGACTGAGGCAAAGACATCGTATAGTTTCTGGAGAAAGCAGGCGTCCGAGGCATGTGGGAGACAGTACAGGAGGGAGGTTCTGCAGGCAGCCCCTCTACAGGACCCCAGGGCAAGCTCCCTAGTGCTCCTCTACTTCCATCCTCGCCTACCCAGGCCAACAAAGGGGACAGCGAGTGACCGGCCAGGTGGATTTGCTGTGGGCCTCAAGGAACTATGCTTTGTCCAATCCTTATGTATCTGTGTGGGATGGTGTGCTTGGTGGGAGCACAGGTTCTATGCATACACACAGTCAGTTTCACCCTGACAACTGGCCGATCAACTGGGCCTTCTGAACCGGCAGGGGACATTGTGACCACAATAGCAACAAGACAAACACACTAACAACCACTATAACAAAACATTGTTTTCACAATTGTTTCATAGCAGGGCTCTGATGGCAAAAGATCAGGTTCCATTTCCTATTGTTTTTGGTTAGAAATGTCTCATTATCTAATCCACTCATGTACACCTGCTGTGAGATTCTTCTGGGCTGAATTCTGCGCAAAACAGCCAATGGCTTACAGCACATTAGCAAACAATTTTTAATGTGACGATATTTTGTCAAGTCAAGAGATTCTTTAAGGGGATCTTTGAATTCCACTTCCTACCACATTGAGAACTGCAGGACAACTAGCCATGCTGTGTAGAGTTCTTGTGGCCAATACCTTTACTGGTTCTATTTCCATAGTCAATCAACTGGATCAATACAGGAAAACAATTCCGTCAGCTTCTTTCATTTTTCTGACATTCCAGAGCATTCCATTTAGAAATGGTTTGTTAACAAACCACTACTAGATTGACAGACTTCAGGGAAGAACAGACCGAAGTGGCTGATGTATAAAAAAGCCAGTCAAGCCCTGGCTGGTTTGGCTCAGCGGTTAGAGCGTCGGCCTGTGCTCCAGAGAGACCCGGGTTTGGTTCCCGCTAAGGGCGCGTACTTCGGTTGCTGTTTGTCCCCAGCCCTGGTTGGTCGTGTGGGTGGCGGCCACTCGATGTGTCCCTTTCACGTCGTTGTTTCTCTCTCTCTCTCTTCCTCTCTTTCCCTCCCACTCTGTCTGAACAACAACAACAACAACAACAAAAATGGAAAAAAGTGTCCTCGGGTGAGGATAAAAAAAAAAAAAAGTCAGTCAAAATTCTCATTTCTGTGACACCCTTCTCGTTTCTGTGACACCCTTCTCACTGGGAGGATGAAATCATTGACAGTTTTGGTTCAGGTTCTTCTGCCAAACAGATCACATTTTAACACCATCAATCAAAGAGCACCTGTCAATTTTGAGACACAGCTGGTGTGCTGCTGCTTTAATCCTGTCCTGTGCATCAGCATGAGTCATGGACTCTGTCCCAAAGCCATCAATAGCCAGGATGACATCTCCAGGGCACAGGTTGGCAGCGGCTGCCTTGCTCCCTGGGGTGATCTGGAAGAAACCATGGCACCACTTAGAAAAACCAGCATCTTGCAGTACCTTGTGCCTGACATTTGCATTTCAGTTTGGTAACGTTTAAAATGTTTTACTGGACAGGAAATCATAAATCTGATTTACAAGAACTCTTACTTGATCAATTGTGTTAACTCTCTTTTCCTATCATATTAAGTCATTTTTTTCTTACTAACCACATTTGATTTATTTTGACTCCTCCTATTCTTTTTAAATCACCTTCCTATCTGCCGGTTTGGATCATATTTTCTCTGCTGTAAACAAAATATTTGTTTTTAGGTTTCTTTTGTCACCCCAAACTCTCTATTGGGGAACAGAACTTGACTAACCTTTGAGAGATTTTATATTCAGATTTGAAACTGCTTTAGAATCCCTATATGTTATGATTCACATGAGAGGGTACTTGGGATGTAGAAAGCTTGAAAGACAATCACTCTTGAGTCAATAAGAAGCCATATTGAATTCTTCAGAGAGCTGAAGTTGGAGGGCAGCCAACTAACCTGGAATTTAAGGAAAGACAGGTGCCTCCACGGACAAACTAAATGTAAATATGAGCTACCCTGAATCAGAACGAGGAGGACTAGCTGTTAAGAAAAATGCAGCTAAAATTATGAACAAATTGTTAAAGGCGAAGTGTGAGTTAGTATGAAGAGTCTAGAACCCCTGGGAACCGTAGACACAAGGGAAATTTATATCCACACATTATCTTCTCCATGAATGAAGAGCAGATGGAACAAATAGAAAACAACTAACAAGATGCAACATTTTAATTAAACTCTATCAACAATTACATTAAATATAAATGGTCTAAACACACCACACTGTTTATTAACAGAGATGGTCAAACTAGGTAAAAAAGCAAGTTCCATTTTTATGCTGTCTACAAGAAATCCGTGTTGGTTTTTGGGGAGGGGGAGAGTAGGGTAAAAGGAATATTTCAGGATATGGGAAAAATATGGTTGTGAAATGTTTAATTTAAAAGATAACAAATTTGAAATTATTACCATGCTGAGTATTCAGTGATTCTTTTGATTGCTATACCAACTCCTAAAGTTTCTGGGTAAATTCCAACTGTTTACCACAACCTAACAGTCATCACCCGGTTTTTCCTTGCCGATTTTTTCTATCATCATCTTACTCTATTCCTGCTCCCCGCTATTGACTACACTGTAATTCTGATTTCCTTTTAGTTCCTCAATTAGACCAAACCTGTACCCATTTGGGGGCCTTACATGCATGCTATATTTGCCTGAAAGGCTTCCCCTACTCTTTATATTTGCCCCGTCTCATCCTAAGGTCTAGGCTTAAAAGTCATTTTCAGAGAGACTTCCTCGGAACATCTGAAATAGTTTCTGCAGCTCCTACCCCATCATTCTCCAACCCCACACCCTGTTCATTTCCTTCGTGAGGACAATTTGCTCTTTTATGTCTGTTTACTTGTTTGTGTATTATCTGTCTTCCCAACTAGACTGGAAGTTCTTGAGACTAGGTATAATATGTATATTCCAGTGTTTGGAATTAATGAATAATTAATTGAAAAATGAATGAAAAGTCTATTTAAATCAGAGTTTATGAAACAAAAGTACTTATTCCTATGCCTGAAGATTATTGCCATTAATTTCAACCTATCATTGTTACATTTTTAAGTTTCCACTCTGTAGAGCAGAATAATACATACATAGAACTTGACTTAAATCTGAAACTGCTCCAGGAATAAACTAGATGATTCCTAATGTTTCACTTGAGGCTCAATCATCAATCCACTTCCCCCCTCTATTTTCCTAATCTAGCTATTGATTCTACTTAACTGTGGGCCCTAAGGAAGACCCAAGACCCAACTAAATAAAACTGCCAAGATAGTAAATTCTCATGTGTCCTAACTCCTCAGTCGCATCACTAGAGGCTTATTGTACTCACTTTATTTCTGTGGTCCTCCTACTGCCGTGATCACGATCACTTTCCATTAGGAATAGTTGGTAGGATCTGGGTGAAGACAACTGGGGATGGTTACATCTCAGCCTTTAGGGGCATTTCATAGGTGGCTTCCATTTAGAAATTCTCCTAGACCCAGAACTATTAGAAGAATAACAAGTTTCTGTCGCTGATGTGACTTGTAGTGATAAAAATCATCTTAAACTTTTCATTTTCTCTAGTCATAGTTAATTAAAATCAGTACTATCTATTTTTAAAAATCTAAGATCAAAATGCTTTCTTTTGAGTTAAAGCCCGAGAAAGCATGGCTCAATGTATTGGCTTTTAAAGCCTCACCTGGCTTTTCTAACATAACCCAAAAGATTTAAGTTATAGAGCACTCAATCTTGATTTAGAGAAGGCTAAAAAGGTTTAAAAACTTTGGTTAGGATGAGTGGAAGGCAGAATTGTGTGTGTATCTGTTTATATAATTTTTTTCCCCCTCACCTGAGGACATTTTTTGATATTTTGTTCAGATAGAGTGGGAGGGAGGAAGGGGGAGAGAGATAGAGAGATAGAGAGATAGAGAGAGAGAGAGAGAGAAACATCGACGTGAAAGGGACGTATCGAGTGGTTGCCACCCACATGACCCATTCAGGGCTGGGGACAAACTGCAACTGAGGTACATGCCCTTAGCGGGAACCAAACCCGGGTCTCTCCAGACCGCAGGCCGACGCTCTAACTGCTGAGCCAAACCGGCCAGGGCTGTTGATAAAAATTTTAAACAGAGACATCCGGTGTGCTAAACTTAGGTATTGAATATTCTAAATTTTATTAACAGTGTTAATATGGAAGTTAATGACACTATGTTATATTTACCCAAAATATTACATTGGCTAAGTTCTTTCTAATAACTTTGACCAGTGCAGCAGCTCTGAGACAATCTGGAGAAAGAAACCTGCTCCTGTTTTCAGAGGAGAAGCGTCTGAGTAACCTGTGGCTTCTTACTGACGTCGGGAGCAGCTGTACACAGCTGTCACCAGCTGTGTGGGAAGTCAGAGAGGAAAGAGGGTTTATAGTGACAGCCAGAACCCACTCTGACTTTGCATTCAACCTGGAGGTCCTGGGACCGCCAAGGACAGAGCCAATAAGAAAGAAAAAAGTATAGCAAGAGAGGGATGAGAGTAGGAAAAAACACTATCTGTTCACTTCTTCCTAGTTCTCAAGTTGTTAGGCTAGTGATCAGACAATGGCCACTAAGCTGGCCTGGTTTTAGTAAGTTAAATGGTATGTTTAATCATAAGAATATACTATTTCCCTGCACTACTTTATATTATGATATTATTTTATATTATTGCTCAATTTATTATGAACATGTTTTCCCAAATTAGGAGAAAAGAGAGCTAAAATGACGTAGAGTGTCTCAGTGGATTATTGATTATTCGGGTTCAGCAGGGTCTCAGGTGGGAGAAGCATTGGAGGGATCAATGGAAGCGGTACTGCCATCACGCACTGAGTGGCGTGTTTCCCAACTTGTCTAATTAGAAGAAGCACGTGGGTCCTTGCTACACGAAGACTCCCACCCACGCGGGATCTCTGGAATCACGCATCGGAAGCTCTCGCAGAGAAGCCAGGGAATTGTTTTTAACAAGTGCCTCTATGATGTTCATTATTCACATCAACCCATTACTTGGGTCTGTTTGGAAAAAAAAAAAATTTACAACTTAGATGAAGCATCTATAATGTTCTATTTACTGTGGGAGACACAAAGGAAGTCCAAGATATGGCCCTTATGGGGTTTTTATGTTAAGAATAAAAATGACTGAAATAGTTACAGAGCAAGGCAAGTATATACCAAGGGCTGTGCTGTGGGCAGTGGATGGAAATGGTGAGAAACCCTGTAGTTTGGCTGCTCTCCACTGTCTACAAATAAAGCCCTCCAGCACCTATAACGGCATCTCCAGCACCTATAACGGCATCTCCAGCACCTCTAACCGCATCTCTGGAGCCAGCCCCACCCCACTTGAACTAGACCCTCTGTAAGGAGTACCTGGGCATGGGTGTCTTCAGAAGTTATCTGGGTGAGTCTCGTGCAGCCAGGGTTGAACACTGTTATGGTATTATTGTTATTGTATTATTATCGAGAACTATATCTCAATTCTCATGACAGTCCTTTAAGATGAGAAAACTGATGCTCAGAAAGTATAAGAAGCTTGCTTAAGGTCACACATCCAGTGGAAATCTGAATTTCCATCATGGGTCCGCGTCATTTTATAGCTCAAGCTCCTCCACTCTCCCACCTGCCAGTCCCCAAGCGATCTCTCCCCCGGCCTCCTGCTGCCCCTTCGGCCGTGCTTGTCTGCATGGACTCCCGGACCGGTTATATCACAGTGGTTTGTGTACATGTCCCTTCTCTTCTGCTGGCCTGTGGGCTTCTCAAGGCAGAGAAACCAATTAAGTTGTAGTGGCACCCGCCACAGTGCCCTCCACATACAACACGTTCTGCACTTGGCGGCCTCTGTGGGATGGAAGGACGTTTCGCGCATGCGGACCAGCACTTCCACGCAGACGTGCCTTTGGTAGAACAAAATTAAATAGGTTTTTGTTCACATCAGCTTTCTTACTACACTCGAATCCTAGAAAAGGGTTGCTTTCAACTGAAGCATTTCTTTCTAAAATTTTAGGTTTCAAATACAGTTTATGTTAAAGTAATATACACGAAAGTCTGCAAAGTAATATACATGAAAGTCTGCAAAACTTAAGACTGCACTAACATTTTCTGTGTTGGTCCCCAGTCCACATAGCATTCTCAGCTACAGAGACCTTGAACGTGGGTGTGCCCTGCATAGGAAGGAGGGAGGGGGGGCAGGAGGAGAGGAACTGGTCAGGAAAGGACACACCGGCATCAGATGTATACAATAAGTCTACATCATGTGCACAAACGAAGCATGCACTTTATTCTAAATTGGACCATTTGTGAAAACAAATGACCTGTAACTTGGCAGCGATAGTGGATCCTCCTTCTGGGTGGTCCACACACTTTAGAAAGAAAGCCTCCTTAGAATCTTCTTGCCAGAAAAAGAAAAGCTGCTTCCTAAGAGATCTGAGCCTTACGCTTCTTTCTGTGAAACGTTTAGGCCAGTTGATGTGCTGGCTGCAAAGCCTTCCCGCTCCCCCAAGTCGAATACCACGGCATCATTTATATTGCACAGAGTCTTGTATATCTATCGGCTAGAGATTGCTTTCCGAAAAATGGTGTGGATTATGACCAATTGCTCAATCTTTTGAGAATGTCTGGTATTTGATTTACCTTACTTCTGGTGTTGTTTTTAATGATATAAAGATGAACCCGGCTCATTAATTGGATTGTAGGCAATAACGGGGTGTAATTTCAAAGGTGGAGAGAGGTACACTTACATCCCAGTGCCCCAGCTCTGGTGGAGCGGAGGACCACATCCAGGGGCATGGCTACAGTCTGAATGTGCAGTGTTGAGGCAGGAAGGGAAGGGAGGGCTTGGAGGAGGACAAAAACAGATTTAATTGACTTGAGGAACACATCTCATTTATGGGACTTTTTGTGGCATTAAGTGCAGGCTTTGGTATTTCAATTCTTTGCCTACTTATCTAAAATAGACAAATCAATTAACAAATTGATTGTCAAATAATTGTCATTCATCTTTATCGTGGAATAGTTTTGAGGACACAATCTGTACTTATTTGTGATAGTTATGTTAAAAGGGAACACTTTAGTCAATCATTCCTATTGTGTCATATTTATTCTATTAACATGCAATATACAAGGCACTGTACTTGGCACTGAGTAACCCCAAACTTGAGAGTTCCTGCCCTTGGGCAGCATGTGATTTGTGGGACACAGATGCACTCAAACATCTGTGGTAGAAGATGTGATACGAGGAGAGGTCGTAGGTCAGAAGCTCCGCCAGTCAAAGGGATCAGATGCTGTTTGACCGGGTTCCACAGGCACAGAGGGCAGTGGGGCGGGGCGGGGAAGAGCAATCGGGGAAGAAGGACAGAGGAGTGAAGGTCTGTTAGAGAATCGTGAGTAGTCCAGAGTGGGCACCACTGCCTGTCTGTGGAGCAGGAGGAGGAAGGGGCCAGAGGGGGAGGAAATGCAGCTGGAAACTCGAGTTGGGGCAGAGGGTGAAAGCCATGGTGTGTAAAGACCACACATTTTACTCACCATAATCTGGTGATGCTCTTGAAGGGTGTTTAAGAATGGGGAAGATGGGAGCCACTGGCATTTCCCGCAGATGACTGGGAAGAATACGCAGGGTGAACTGGAGAGGGTGACAAACAGCTCGGTGGGACGTTACGAAATCTTACGTGGGACAGTGGTGGAAACAAAGAAAAGTGGTAGGTCTTAGAGATACAGAATCAGTAGAAGCAGGTGATGAAGTGGATGGCACAAAACACCTGTTTGGAATATCTGTGCAGTAAGCAGAATTGTTCATGGGTGTGGACTCCAGAGCGCAGACTCTGGACCAGGTAGACCTGGCATCTGTTTCTGCCCCGGCACTGTGGGCACTGTGGGTGCATCTCTTGAAGCCTCCCTCTCGTCTGTGAAGAGGGACAATGGCACTGCCACTCTAGCTGGATTACTGTGAGAATGACGTGAGTCATGCCTACAAAGGGCTTAGAGGAGAGCATGCAAGCAACAACCTTATTCACTTCCTTTTCACATAATTTAAAGATTATAAAAGTAACAGGATAACCCCAGCTACGTACAACACTGGTAAGTACTTTTGTGCAGTATCTTTTAGTCTTTTTTTCCAAATGATTTTTAGTATTCTATAGTTTCAGTGGAAATATTCTCAATTAGGTGTTCATTAAGGCAGGAAAGTTCAAGTGAATGTGTTTTCATTTGTTCAGCATGAATCTCTCATGTGCGTGGTTTGGGGGATACATAGAATACAAAGCAGTTTAGTTTTACCTGCTCTCCTTGAGTTAAATTAATTGAAGAGAAGAGGCATGGTCAAATGAGATAATCATGCACGGTTGTACACTGTTTTTGAACCAACTGTCAAAATGATTGATACAAATAAGTAATGAGTTAAAAATTCAAACCAGAATTAGCTTCCCAAGTAATAATTGTCATTATATCAGATACATTTACAAAGAGCGCCTGCGGTCCAACTCCAAAATGTAAGCACATCTTTAAATAAACATTGTTTCAAATGTCAACAACTCAAATTTCAAACATAAGATGAATCATATTAACATGTTGCATAGTAATAGCAAGATACTTCCTTTGTAAATCATTTAATTATTTCTTTAGGATTTAATATAAATATGATTTATGTTTTGTTAGAATTCAAAAGCTTATTTCATTTAATATAAACAAATGAAATTTATACTTCAGAAACTTTAAAAATATTTCTTAGTAGAGATAATGGAAACTGTTTTCTTTAGAAAATCCATAAAAGGCATTGTTTGGCTCAGATCACCAAACCATTATCTGCTTAGTTTACTTAGGAACATTTTTGGGGATATGTTAAGTTTTCATATCTCATACAAAAACACATGTCAGATATGTTTATATGTTTTTGAAAAATGTAAAACAAAGCTTGAACTGTTCCATGGTATGCATCTGTATGATACATGTTTGGAGATATTTTCAAAAGACATTGGTTCCCAAATCTCATTGTTTTATACGTAGAACAGAATTTAAAAGGTATTACCTTGTTCAAAAATCTATGTGAGTAAATCAGATTATAAAGTATACATTTATAAGATGCAGAATAAGCAGTAAGGAGGAAAAGAAAAGAAAGCATTAAAAAGTATTAGGTTTATTATGCTTCACATGCAATAATTGAAATAATTTTCTTTTAAGACAAATACTTATGTTAGAAAGAAATTAACTAGACCAACTACAAATTTACTGACAGGACAGAAACCCTGACGTTTCCTTTTTGTTTTCCCCTGATTAGACAACACTCTGAAGAATATTAAGTAAGGAAAGCTTGACTTTGATAGTAAAGCATTTTTTTCAGAGTCAGGAGGCTGAAGGTGACTTTCCATCAGGTAAACTACACGACCTGACCCGTTTTCCTCGTAGTACGTTATAGTTGTTGATTCCTCAGACAAGTTCCCAGCGTTGGAAAATATTTACTCGAAATGCCTGGAAACCCAGGAGTACAGATGAGCAATATTTTCCCTCCTGGCTGATCTGAGCGGTCCCAGCCTGGCCGACCCAGGTAGCGCCCGCGAACAGCGCCCTGCTGAAGTTTCATCCAACGAGAAAAGCGCTTCCACGCGCGTCGGGCCAAGAAACAGCCCCCAGTGTCAGCCCTTTCTCTCCTGCCCGGGCCCCGTCTCCATGGATACGGGAGACTGGCACTGGAAGGAGGCGGGCGTGGGGGTGCAGGGCGAGAGGACACCCAGGCCCCGCAGGGCAGCCTGCTCTGAGCCCAGAGGACGCTGTGGGAAGCTGCCCGACCCAGAGCATGCAGGCGGACCCCTGGAGCTGCCACGGTCCATTCCTAAGCTGCTCTGCGCCCTCCAAACCTCACTTTGTCAAGTTGCTGCCCCACCCCATCCCCAACTGTGAGCCCGAGGCGAGGACCTAGGCAGCGCGCCCAGGCTCACTGGCCACTCTCCGCTCCAGGGGGACCCGCCACAAGCCGGAGTCCCCGACTTGTAGCAAAAGGATGGAAAGCACCTACCCTGGTGATGACCAAAGGCTGGTTGAAGTCTATGCCCCCCGAGAGTCTGAAGCCCCAAGGCGCTGGGCCAGGGAGGACCACGTTCTGGGGCATGGTGCCTCCTGGCGCGGCCTTCCTAGGGTGGGGACGCGGCGAGGGGTGGCCCTGCCCACGGCGAGTGTCCCTGAGCCGGACAGCCCTCTGTGCTCCCGGGGCACTGTCCTTGCTTGGACTGTGGCCGGGGAGCTTTATCCCGGCTCCGGAGTGACGTCACCAGCCTACCCTCCTCCCCACCCCCTCCCACCAAGGAGAGCTCCAACTTAGGAAGAAGGAGGCGCCAGACCCAAGGGAGTTTACCGACGCGCCCTGGCTGGGTGCAGCCCGCAGGCGCTGGAGGAGGCTTCGGGTTACAGCTTCACCACTCCCAGCAAGCAACACCTGTCCTCCTGTTTATTTTCTGCTTGGAGCTCAGCAGTGCGCTCCAGTTGAAGTTAGTTAAAAGCAGTTAAACCACAGCCTCTGTGCTTTCAATTAAAGTAAAACACAGGCATCATCCATCAATGAGTTATTTAGCAACGTTGAGTGCAATAATATTTACCTACTAGCTGTGTGACTTGGCTCAGATACTGAACGTCCGTAAGCTGCAGTTTTCTCGATTGTAAGATAGGGGTAGTCATTGTACTTACATCAGAACGCTCCTGTGAAATTTATTCCTCCGCACAAACACCGTCAAAACGAACACAGTGCCTGGCACCGTGTAAGTGCTCAATTAAATACACATAGTCATATGTATTGATGGGTGTCCACAATATGCTTAATATGTATACAAATACAGTCAACATCTATTTTTTAAAATGAAGAAATCTAAAAGTGACAATGTCATGTAAACATGTACCTGATCCAAAGAACCTTCTAAAAGCACATATGAGTGGGCGATCGAGCAATAGACTCAAAATATATTTTCATTTTGATCGGAGCAACTGTCACTTCCTTCAAATGCAGCCCCTAAACTTGTGTTTTTGACACCTGGGGAGGGAGCATAACAGAAACCCAGGAGTTGAGACTGTCTCCAGTGTGGACACTGTAGCAGGGTGTGGGGGGGGCGAGAGGGGGGGGCGGAAGGGGACCCGAAACCGGAAGCATCCCCGGGGAAGAAAAGGGGGGTCGGGTACTCTTTGAGCACCAGGGTCCAGAGCTGCAGTGATTGCCCCACCTGCTTGATCTTCCTCCACCCCCCCCTAAGTCCATCAAATTGCTGTTCTTCGTTCCATTTCCTTTTTCAGCATTTCCTAGACGTTAAGTAACTTGCATGAGCCCTCACAGCTAGGAAGTGGGGAATAGAGATCACAAACCCAGGTCTGACCCCAGTGGTTGCCTGGGGTGGGTATGGAGGCCAGGGGGGGTCCGGGAGTGGCCTGCCCGAGTCTCAGTGTGGAATGGGGTCTTTCTAGTGCTACACCCCATCATGTTCTGAGTCCCGAGGAGAGGAGGAAGGAGGTGGGGAGAGAAGCATGAAATGCTTTCAAAAACCAAGAAGGAGGGTCTTATACTTCATGCCCTTAGCAGTCCAGGAGCGTAGGGCTGCAGTATACCTTTAATCAAGCAGTCTGGAAGCGGTTTGAAGACTGAGAGAGAAGGGAAGAGATTTAGGAAGCTGTAAGCAAAGCGGACTAGCCTGGGGATTGTGTAATCACAAAACCAGGACTGGTCCTGTTTTGCCCACTGTGGTGGGGTATAGAAAAGTCGCAGGGGATGGAGTTTCTGCTCCCCACCAATGCTGGGTTATCAGGGACATATTTATAATATATTTCTGTTCGTTTGTGTAGTTGGGCTGGTTATATTATTGTAAAGCACATTTTCTCTGTCAGTTACCAGCTGTATCTGCTTGGTAACCCCCCCCCCACACACACACACACATGAAGGTTGATCCAGAAAAAAGTCAGACAAGTAACTTGGTATAGTGTAATTATAATTGCTTATACCTTACCTCATGAGCTGGCTTATATAAACAATCAATTATATGCTTTTGCTTTTCTGCCTTTTTACTAGTCATTTTTGGCATCATTTAGATCTTAGTAATATCTATACACCGTCAGTACAATACCCGAGTTCTTCAGGCTTTGCAGACAGCGTGGGAGGGGAGCGTAACAGAATAGGAGTGGAGACTGTCCTGTGTGGACACTGCAGCCAGGGTGAGGCTGCTGCTTTTGGTTTGGGTATTGTCCTAAGAAGTTCTTTTTGGATGAGTTTTCCAGGTTTTTTTTTTTTTTCTATTTAAAAATATTTCTCCTTTTAAAGGATTATGCTAAACTCTTCATGATTCCATTAAGGATTACTTTTGTAATTATTATTTTAAACCATGTTTAGAAAGTTCTTTATTTTTCCTTTTAGAAGAGGGTCGATTGTTCCTTCTATGCTGATATAACTGTACATTTTTTTCTGTTGGTTAAAACAATCATCTCTCTGATTTTGATTCTCAATCTATAATTTAAACCTGAGTTCTCATCTATTTTCTGATCCTGCTTTTCTAGTTGTCTCCTGGTGCAAATACAATTTAACCTGCTGGTGCAAATACAATTTAACCTGCGCAAACCAAACCCATCATTGAAGTGCTCACACCAAACTGATTTCCTGGCCTCTGTGCCTTCCACTTTCCTCCCTCCCTCCGTCCCTCCCTCCCTCCGTCCCTTCCTCCCTCCCTCCCTTCCTCCCTCCCTCCCTTCCTCCCTCCCTCCCTTCCTCCCTTCCTCCCTCCCTCCCTCCCTCCCTCCCTTCCTCCCTCCCTCCCTTCCTCCCTTCCTCCCTCCGTCCCTTTCTCCCTCCCTCCCTCCCTCCCTTCCTCCTTCCCTCCCTTCCTTCCTTCCTCCCTCCCTTCCTTCCTTCTTTAAATTTATTGATTTTTTATAGAGAGAAAGAAAGGGGGGAGAGATTGATTTTGGTGTTCCACTCATTTATGCACTCATTGGTCAATTCTTGTGAGTGCTCTGACTTGCAGGATGGAACCCACAACCTTGGTGTATGGGGACAATGCTCTCATTAACTGAGCTACTCGACCAGGGTCCCCGTGCCTTTCAAATTTCTCATTTCTGTTCATTTTTCTACTACTATTCCAGGCTTCTAGGATTGTAAAATTTCCTTATTTTTTATTTTCCAAATGTTGCTATATATTGTGGTTTTATTCATTCATTCATTGATTAATTAATTCATTCAATAAGCATTTGTTGAGCATCTCTGACACGCCAGACACTGGGAATGCAAAGACCCACTTTCTGTCCTCTGGGAGCCACTAATAAAATAAGGGAGATGGAAATGCGAAGTATGATCATATAATGTGATAGCCCTGGGATGGAATAAGAATGAAGGACATAATCAACTCCCCTTGTGGAGGTGTCGGGAAAAGTTCCCAGAGGAAGGGATGTTAGAGCGGAATCTTTCAGAGTAAGTTTCCAGGGGACGGGGAATTGGAAGGGGAACAGAAGGGAGGACATTCAAGGCAGACAGAACTGTATCGGAGTGTGCGGTGACTGGAGGCAAGAAACACTGGGTAGGAACAGGAGACAATGGTCATAGCATTCAGGAGCCATATCACAGAGGCTTTTATATGTTACACTAACATTCTGATCTGATCCTATGGGGAACCTTGGAAGAGTATTAAGCAACATGTATGCTAATCAGATTTGCCTTTCGCAGGCTTCATTCTGGGGGGTGGGAGGATGGATCAATGGAAGGAGCTAGGAAGCGGGGCGCCCAGTGAGAACGCACGGCAATAAGCCAGGGGAAGGTGTTGATTAGGGCTGTGGGGGTGGAGAACAGTGGGCGGGTATGGGAGTCATTAGGAAGATTAACTGACACCACCTGGGGACAGATCTTACTTGGGGGTTAAGAAGAGGTTAGATCTGGCGGGTGTGGCTCAGTGGTTGAGCATCGACCCATGCACCAAGAGGTCACTGGTTTGATTCCTGGTCAGGGCCCAGGCCCAGGTTGTGGGCCCGATCCCCAGTGGGGAGCATGCAGGAGGCGGCCGATCGATGTTCTCTCTCACTGATGTTTCTATCTCTCCCTTTCTTTCTAAAATCAACAACAACAACAACAACAATAACAAAATTAAAAGAAACACACACACAAAAAAAACAACACAAAAAGGAGAGGTTAGGAGATTTGGAATGCTCCCCAAAGTCTTCACTGCGTATTACATGAATGGCAGAATCATTAATAAGGAGAAAATATATAAGTATGGAAAGGTATTTTTGTTTTAATTAGGGAATGGTAGAGTAAATCACAGTGTGGCTCGTGCTGGGTTTGAAATACCACCACCACCACCACCAGTACTACGACTACTAGTCATAATAGCAAGTGATTATATGCACTTAGCTTGTGTCAGACACACCTCTAAGAATTTTGTACTTATTAACTCATATAAACCTCACAATAATTCTAGGCGGCAAGTACTATTATTATCATCATTTTAACAAAGATGTTGAATAACTTGTCTAAGACCACAGAGCGTGCAAAGGAGCTAGGATGTCACTCAGACACCTGGCTCCATATTTAGTCTTTCAACCAGTGTACTCTACAGTCAGGAAAACTCCTAAATCTTAGGATCGTTGGTTACACAGCAATAGTAACAGATACGGGATGAAATCACGGGAGGAAATTGGGTATGTGAGGTGACAAGAAAAGAGGGCTCATGATTAAGCTCTGAGAAACAGCAGCCTTTAAGGGGGAGGAGAATAAGAGGACTGTAGGATAAAGTGGTTTTCCTCTTGCAGAAAGTTTAAAGAACCATTGAAGTGCTGGCACAGAAGGCAAATGAGGAGAGAAATTCAAGGAGGGAAGGCAACTACCCCAGGGGAGTGAGGTGAACCTCATGATGGTAAGGGCCGATTAGACACAAGTCTTAGAGCAGCGACAAGGGAACAGGGGAGCCCTGGCTGGCGTGCTCAGTGGTTAGAGCATCGGCACACACGTTGAAGGGTCGTGGGTTTGATTCTCGGTCAAGCGCGTGTATCTGGGTTACAGTTTGATTCTTGATCCTGATCAGGGTGTATGCAAGAGGCAACCAATTAATGTGTCTTTCTCACATCAATGTTCCTCTCTCTCTTTCCCTCCCCCTACTCGGGTGAGGATTAACCAAAAAAAAAAAACAAAAAAACAGTAGGACTGGTGAGTACAGAAGCAGACTACCAGGCTTTGAAGAGTAATGCGAGGAGAGGTGAATA